ATTGTTCCTTTCTCTCTGAGAGAACACAGGGAGAACCTTTTGTGAACTAACGCTTTAGAGCTTGAAAATTGATCTCCGGGGCTTGAAATTAGAGTCCCTGAAGCCTTTTCTGCTGGGAGAGGGACTCACCTGGGTTTTCTAAGCTCTTCCTGAATTAATTCCAGAAGTAATTCCCCTGGCATTTCAGCTGCTGTCTCTTCAGTGCTGGTGTCTCTCTCCTGGAGCTTGGCCAAAAAAAAAAGGGGGGGGGGTTATGGAGGGGGGACTCACTTGGCACACCTCGAATTTCCTAATTGGAAGTTTCAGAATTTTTCATTCTTTTAACCACTTTGTCTTCCCTGTTCCCTGTCCTTCAAAGACAGTTATTGAATTCTAATTTACATCAGATACTTGGGCTCATAAATTAGCCACTAAATGGTGCTTTTTCTTGTTATTTTATCTCTTGCAGTCTTCTGGTGCACTTAGAAATATGTTTCTGATTCATTTAAAAAGAAATCTCGCTCCCTGTTCCGATCTTATATGTCAGAATAAATTATAACACAAATGCTTTATCCTTCGGAAAACATTCAAATCTGTCTGTTACATGGTTGGACAGAATATTGATTTCATGACTTCTTAAATGTATAACTCCTTAACCTTCACTATAGAAGAGAGCAGCTGCTGCTTTACCTTGCGTAGTAAGTATCATGTTTGCTCTTACGCAAGCTTGGAATGTGGCAGGTAAACGGTAAAAGCACACTCACAAGAAACCCTAGAGCCAGCTTGTACAGAAGACAGCAGATGCCACATAATATTGCCACGAGACAACTTTAAATCTCTAAGAAACAGTTTTCTTCTTTTATTGTCCATTTTTAAAAGATATTACATAGAAAGGAATATGACCCTTCAAAGTAAGCAGCTTTTTTTCTGGTGTAAGTTTGTGACTTTCAGATACTAATGGAACCAACTAGAAACATTTTATCTATATAAATGTATGACTAAATATCATTTACAAATTTTAGTATACACAAAAGCTATTCACAGAATTTTATCTTTACTCTTGATTTCCATCTTTGCTAGTGAGTCAAAATACCTCTGAATGTCCCTCCAGCTTCAGTGTGATTGTAATAAGCTATTTTAATTCAGTATTATGTTTTTTGTAACCTCACAAATCATATGGTATTATTTGTTCATTTATACCATCAGAATTTGTTTAGATTTAACCATACTGCCTTTATCATTTATTCTCTATTCCTTCTTCTCAGGTCTTCCTTCTGGAATTATTTTTCCTCTTTAAGTATAGCAGGTCCTCAAATAACATTGTTTTGTTCAATGTTGTTTTGTTAAAATGTTGGTGAGATGCTGTAGGAATTTAACTCTTGTTTATATCGATTAGCCTATGGTAAAATTGATAACATTGTTTTGCTTAAAGTCGCAGAATCTATCAATGATGTTGAGGATTACCCTTGTTTAGACAGATTTCTCTACTGAAGGTCTTCTGTTGGTATAACCACTTTTTGCTTCTCTGAAAATGTCTTTATTTTAACAAATAGAGAGTATTGCTGGTTATTCAAACCTAAGATGTCAGATTTTTTTTTTCTTAGCATTTTGAAGATTTTATTTCACTGTCACTTGGCTCCTCGTTCTGTGAAGTAGGTATCTGATGGTGCAATTGCCATTCCTTATGCTCTGACTGCATTTATTTACAATTTCTCTTTCTCTTTGGTGTCTTGTGGTATCAGCATGTGAGTAGGTCTGGGTTTTTAAAACATTCACCTTGCTTGGGATTTCTTGGTCTTCCTGAATGGGATTCATGTCTTCTATTAATTTTGGACAATTCTTACTGTTATCTCTTTGAATATTGTCTCTACCCAATTCACATCTTTTTAAAACTTTGATCAAATGTATGTTGGACTGTCTCGTTCTATCTTCCATCTCTCTCTCTTTTTTAAAAAAACTATATCTCATCTTTTATATATACGTATCTTTTTTTTTATTTCTCTGTGCTCCATTCTCAGTAATTTTCAGATCTGTTCTCCAGTTCACTAAATCTCTGTTCAGCTATGTCTAAATTTATGTTTATTATTTATTATATATTGTATATTGAGTTTTAAAATAGAAATTATTACATATATATTAATTTCTAAATGTTCTTTGTCTTCCCCCCTGCCCCCCGCTCCAAGTATTTTGGGCCACTTTTCATAGTCTCTTGCTACTTACTCCTGTTTTTTGTCCTGTCTTTATTCTTTTTAAATGTAAGATACTTTAAAAAATATATTCCATAATTCCAATATCTGAAGTCTTTACAGATTTGATACTATTTGTGTGTTGTTGTTTTCTCTTTTGGGTGGTTTCTTGACTTTTTCCATAGTACCTTATTTCCTTGTGTTTTATAATTTTAAATTTTGCAATCATTTGTTGGAGTTTTAGCTGCAGAATATTTTGATGCCTGGTTTGAGAGTGTGTTTTTCTAGAGATGATTTATGTTAGCTTGGATAGGTGTTGGAGACCTGGTCCATTTTAAATTATGATTCTCAGCACATACTTTTCTGGACCATACAGTAAGTTCCAAACTTGGGGAGACTTTTTGTAAAGTATCTGCACAAAGTCAGTTGCGACAGATACTTTTTCTTGCTGTCCTTTCAGGGATGGGTTGTTTTCGTCCTAATTCATGCTTTCCCTGAGACGGTGGCACTTCCTGGGTCTCTACTTTTTAGAGATGGTCTTCCCTTGGTTCTTTACTTGTCCAGACCCAACACATGTCCCTCATTTCCTCCATGGCCTAAGCCAGCGATTTTCAACTGGTGTGCTGCAAGAATTTTTAAAACCTGCAATTCCTGGCTAAATAGTCAGGGGCACTGACCTCTTTTCCCTTAGATTGCCAAATAAAAAAAAAAAGACAACAGCCAGCATAACAATAGCCATCCTATGTGAATGAGTCAAAGCTATACCTATTGTTTGGTCAGATCTGCAAAAAATAGATATGTGTGCCGTAGAATTTTAGTAATTAGTGTGTGTGTGCCATGAGATGGAAAAAGTTGATGGTCTCTGGCTTAAGTGTTAGGCTGCCTGGTCTAGTGTCCCTCTAGGCCAGCGGTTCTCAACCTGTGGGTCGCGACCCCTTTGGCGGTCGAACCACCCTTTCACAGGGGTCGCCTAAGACCATCCTGCATATCAGATATTTACATTACGATTCATAACAGTAGCAACATTACAGTTATGAAGTAGCAACGAAAATAATTTTATGGTTGGGTCACAACATGAGGAACTGTATTTAAAGGGCCAGAAGGTTGAGAACCACTGCTCTAGGCTACCTGGTGACTTCAGTGTTCGATGACCTCCATAATCCAGCTCCTGCTCTGTTCCTACACTCAGCCCATGTCCCCTATTGTCTTATAGGCTCATTCAGTCCCATAAGAGGATGTTTTTAGAGATTTATTAACCATAATTAAGTGTTAAGAAGTAGGAAGGCTTTGATCTCTCTAGCCTGCCATATTGCCAGGAATAGAATAGAAATAATTTAGTCTTGAAAAATAGAGAGCAAATTCAAGATTATCCCTATACCAATTCACATCCTTGTGTTCGGACAGATTGTCGGGATGAGTGAGAGGAGGATGTTGCCATGAGTCCTGATAGCTGCTTAGTCCCCAGCCTGTGCTGCAGTGGACGCTACCCTCTGCCCTGGGCCTTGCTCAGGGGCCTCGGCCACCACATGTCCTGCTTCTCTGAATCAGAGGTGGAGACACATAAACTGCCGACATGATAATGAGAGCTGTCACGAGGGCAGGGAGTACCGGAGTTTGAGAGGATAAGATGCTTTTGGTACATATCAGAACTTGGTCCTAAGAGACCACTCGTTCATTCATGTAACAGATGCTTATTGGCCCTTGCATTATGTAAGGGAAACAGATCCACTGTCCCTGTCCTCATGAAGCTCACTGTGCAAGGAGCAGACCGTTCATTTCACTGGGGCACGATGAGGGCTATGAGAGTAGAAGGTAGGGAGAGGTTCTAACCCAACTTGAAGAGGGAGGGTGGTATCTGTGCTGCCTCTGCAGGACTAGGAGGCATCACCTGGGGGTAGAGCCAGGGAAGGGCGTTCCAGGCAGAGGGACAAGAACGTACCTAGTACTGAGCCAGAGAGAATTTGGTTCAGGCAATTGCAGGCAGCTCATTTGGCCAGAGCATAGTCGGGAAGGCGTGAACCTGGAGCAGGCAGCCGGAAGAGCTGAGCCTGGAGGTTGCCCGAGGCCTAAATGATGAAGGCCCTCTAACCAGGAAGCTGTTGAACTCTCTTACCTGGGGAGTGAGGGATGCTGTCAGGGTTGCCATGTTCATTTCTCTCGAGAGCCAGCCCTCCAGAAGAGAAAGAGCACGGGCTTGGCGTGAAGGCGGGAATCTTCCAGTCCGACTCCAGCGCCGCTCTCTCCGGGTGGGCATGGCATGTACTTGATTTAGGTACCTCCTCTGAACCTCTCTTTCCAGAGAATGGACTAGACCAGTGGTCGGCAAACTGCGGCTCGCGAGTCACATGCGGCTCTTTGGCCCCTTGAGTGTGGCTCTTCCACAAAATACCACGTGTGGGCGCACATGTACAGTGCGATTGAAACTTCATGGCCCATGCACAGAAGTCGGTATTTTGTGGAAGAGCCACACTCAAGGGGCCAAAGAGCCGCATGTGGCTCTCTAGCCGCAGTTTGCCAACCACTGGACTAGACAATTTCCCAAGGCCTCCTCCACCCCGGCATTCTGTGGTGACATTAGAAAGTAAGAGGAAAAATGCCATTGTGTGCACACACACGAGCTTAAGCAAAGCCGGAGCTCAAATGTGTGAGTATTTGCAGATGTTACCCTGACAGTAATGCTGGCGGTTTCTGGCTTCCAATTAGCTATCTAACTAACGTCTGTGAATCGTGGGTATTCACAGCGAGTGGGTATCGGCTCAGAGGGTGGATGTTTATAGCAGAAGGTGAGCAGTGTGACTGGCCCGGCAGCTGACCCAGCGTTTGTTTGCCTTGTAGACGAGCTCTCTCTGGAGCAGCACAACCTGTCGTCGCCCTCTGCGGAGCACCCGCTGAAGGAGAGCGCCGCGCACAGCACTGCACACGTGGCCTTAACGGAGGCTGCCCCAGGGTCCCAGCCGAGCAGTCCTCCCCACCTCATGTCCTCTCCATCCGCTGCTACTTTTGATACAGCCTTTTTTAACCAAGGAGAACTGACCCCAAGTACAGCAGATCACAGCGTCTTTGTGGCAAATTCCGTGTCAGTGACGAGCAACGAGGTGGTCATAGATGACGATGAAATGGATAACTTTTTGCCAGAGACTCAGTGCGCCACCTCCCGCGTGGTCTCTCCGATACAGTACGTCACAGTCAGCCCCCCGGGGCTGCCCGAGGAAACAGCAGACTCCGTGCTGACGCCACCATTGCCCACTGTTCCTTCACAAGATGAAGAAGTGACGTCCGCCTGGCAAGACACAATGCAACAACCGACAACGTGTGCTGAGTCCCCCAGTCATTGCAGTGTTTTTCCGTCAACTTTTCTCGCTTCCGAGGCCATGATCCCAACCCCTAGTAGGAATTTGGTGCTTTATCCTACTGACCCTTATGGACGCTCATCAAGCAGGACTTTGCTGGAGGTCGTGGCTTCAAGAACAGAGGGCGTAGAAACCCTCTTTTTTAGCTCCACATCTTCAGTGCCTCAGCCGTCAGGCGATGGCCTCACTCAGCCATTACCCGCCTCGGGGACGGCCTCAGCGCCTCCAGAGGGTGTTCTGGCCCCGGGTTCAGACAGATACTCTGATGGGACCACTGCTTTGAGTCAGAGTCTAAAAGAAACCATCTCTCCAAGAACATCTCCAACTGCAGCTATATCCCAGACGGCCCTTGCTTTTAGCAGCAGCTGCAGCATAAACTCAGCTTTGTTTTCAAGTCCTCCTGCGTTTGTGTCCTTTTCTACTCGGTCAGCTGATGTTTCATATGACCCCATTCTTCCTGGCAATTCCAGGGGAGCATCCGAATTGCCTGGCACTTCAGTGGTCCCAAACCATGCGGACGACACTCCTGTCTGGAGCCCAGCGTCTCCACTCAGACCGTACACGTGGTGTGGGTCCTGCTCTATGGCATCACCGCGGCACGTTCTGTCCACAAGCCTCGTGGAGAAAGACGGGGGCTCAGGGGACAGTGCTGAGACCATGACCGTATGGGAAGCGAGCAGCATCCCTCCACCAAGCAGCATCTCTCCACTGAGCAGCATAGCAGAGGACGTCTCTGAATTTGAGGAAGATCCTCAAGAATATAACCTACTTTTCCCCTCAAGACCAATAGTTCCACTTTCTTCTCGGTTTGTGGAAATCTCAGAAGCAAGCATGGGTCTTTCGGCCGAGGTGGACAGGAGGAGCATCAGGATCACACAAGCGTATCCTTCCCACGGCCCCTCCCCGCCAGTGTCACTCGATCCTGCTTCCTCTGGCTCCGTCTCTGCCATTGAAACTCAAGTAATGCCGCCCAGTGTGACAGCTGTGTTTCCCTCGGCCGTCCCTGATGTTCTCCTCGACTCGTCTTTCTCCGTCACGGCCGACGAATACACGCCATCACTTGCTTCCGGAGACCCGACGCCTTTTACGTCTTATGGTTTGGAGCCTTCCGTAGAGGCTCCGCTTTTCCCTGCCCGAGAACGCGCCAGTGTTTCCCAACACGAAACCAGAAGGACTTTGGGGTTTGCATCCAGCTTTTCCTCAACTCCGCCGCTGGAATTCAGCAGCTCGGCCCCTTTGTCTTCAGAAGGACTTGCGTCTCCATCTCCGATGTCAAGTGACGTGTTGACCATCCTTGCTCAGGCCTTTCCCACCTTGGTCGAGACACTTACGTTGTCCGACTCTCCCCATCTGCAGTCACCTCCGCTCTCCGTCCCTAATTCCACAAACCTTGACTTTTCTCAGCTCTGGCCGAGTTCAGACCTCCTTTTAAGTGCATCCACATTTCTACCTAGTTACTCTGAAATGTCGCTTCTCTCAAGCTTCCACTCCACGTCTCTCACGCTCTCTGAAGCAGCCACCGTTTCACCGGCAGATTCTGAAGCCCGTTTTACCTCAGTTTTCACGGAAACTACCTCCTATTTTGAGTTTTCACTCGTGCCCCACGCATCGGCGGTCCCCACGCGGGTGCCCTCCAGCTCTGAGCCCATCCTTGACATTTCGACTGCTGGAGCGCACTCAGCGTCACTTCTGACTGCCTTTCAGACAACACCCCCTGTAACGGGATCATCCCTCCTTTCCACTCCCGCGCCTTCCGATGGGGATATCAGTGCGATGGGTGATCACGCGTCTGTCTTACCCTCTTTCTCCACGGTCATTCCTACCACCACAATATTGGTCATCGCCGTGTCCCCGTCCTCAGCACCCTCCGCTGTTTCTGAAGTGCTCCCCTCACCTGTACCTACAGATTCTGTATTTGTGGGCCCATCGTTCACACCCACAGATTTGCCGATGAACACAACCACTGAACTGAGCACATCTCCTGCCAGCACTGCCCCTGACGATGCTGTCGACATCATCCTGAACAGCACCCCCGAGAGTCAGAATCCCCACGAGAGCAGCACAGTCCTCCCCTTGCCGTCCCTTCATCCTGTGTCCACCTCCACTCCCGAGGCCGTGGTCACTATTCCGGCAGTGGTCACCACCAGGCCGCCGTATGTGTGCGATATCACAATTCCTGATGCCTATTTGATCACAACTGGTAAGGCCCTGCTTCCTCCTCTGTTTTGGTTGGGGTGATCTTTCTAAGATGCTGTTTGAAATGCTTATTGGATATGTAGCATCCTGGCAAAGCGTGTAGGCTTTAGGCCAAGAGATCTCTTGGGTTAGTAATCCTCACTCCTTTGCTGACCACCTGTGAGTTCTTCAGTTATTTAGCTTCTCTAAGCCTCAGTTTCCCCAGTGATTAAATAAGGGTGATACTGGCACCCACTGCATTGTAATGCATAGAAAATACTCAACCCAGTGCCTGGCATAAGGAGCACCCTCAAAATATGTTATTGTAGTTAGTAGTAGCAATAAGAATAAATAAAAGATTTAAACCTTAGAAGTTTTGCTAGGATATGTGTCTCTGGAACTCATCACCCATGCTTCGAAGTCATGGTTGAAACAAACCTCAGTGACTGGCCGACGGGCGGCTGCCTGTCCCATGAAGCCGTGTACGTTCGCTGCCATGTCTGTGCCAGTCTAGTGACCGGGCCTGCGGGACCAGGCTCCCTGACTTGTTCTTCATGAGAAATGACAGGGCGTGCATGAAGGCTGTGAGCCATGCATATGTACTTACATACAATGTACTGTTGATGAGCACTGCCTGTGTGTGTGTGTGTGTGTTGACTTTGATGGGGACGACGGGTAGAAATGAACCAAGGGGAAGAAGATGGCAGGAGAGGTAGAGGAGCAGGGAGAGGTGGAGGTGGGGAAGGAGGAGAACATGCTGGGTCTTGGTTCTCCAGGCTGAGTGACATGAGCCCTGTGTCCTCTGCTCACCCTGGGGGTGCTGCCACCCTCCGAGAGGGTTGGGGGTAGCTGAAGCCTTCAGTCTCCCAGCTCCGCCCTCCCCAAATGAGGCAGCCATTTGTTAATTCACGTGACAGGTAATGATGGAGCACTGAGTGTGCGTGAAGCACTTTTGGAAGCGTTCCGGGATATAGAGATGAATGGCTTGGTCCCACCCCACAAGGTGCTTAGCGTCCAGTGGGGTGGATGCTGAGCTGTGTTTCCTGGGCAGCTGTGTTGGGAATGGCCGAGGCAGAGTTGTAGAAGAGTGACTGTTTGGGATAATCAGGGACGGGTGTGGAAGACTGTGAACTGGAGGTCGCGTTCAAAGATGAGTGAAAGGCTGTCACCTGCAGATGGAAGGAAGTGTCCTCCAGGTTGAGAGTGTGAACGCGGAGAGAGGTCGGACAGCCCAAGGACATTCAGTTTGGCTGGTAATTAGACGGAGGTGATAAGGCGGGAAAGGAGGTTGGGACAAAGTGGTGAACTTTCATTTTCGGGACTCCAGCCCTCTAGAGGAGAGAGAGAAGAGTTTCTAATAGACATGATACTTTCCTTCCTTCCTACAAAATTGTTGCACAGTAGCCACAAAGTAGACAGTTACAAGGAGCTTATTAAAATAACTACTGTGACTTAAGCAGCTGCATAAGGAGAAAACCAAGATGGCGGCATAGGTAAACACCGGAGTTAGCTGCCTCGAACAACCACTTCACAAATACAACTAAAAGACCGAACGGACATTGCCCAGAACCACAGGAAGACTGGCTGAGGGGAAATTCTTCAACTAGAAGGAAAGAGAACAGCATACGAGACTCAGAGGAGGCGCAGTGCAGAAAATACAAAGGTGCGGAGGTACGCGCGGAGCGGGCTGGTAGCTGAGGGCGTGGTTGTCGTTTTCAATCGGGAGGGAGTCTCAGATTCTGCGCTCCAGTTCTGGGCGAGTCTCTAGGGACCCAGACTCAAACGGGAGAAGCGGGACTGTCTGGCATTGGTCAGAACGCGAGGGCAGCTTTCTCTCCGAGGTTTGCAGCGGTTGCTGGGACTCTGAGAGGCAGAGCCTCTGGGGACGGGACTGAGAGCAGCCATAACTGCTCCCTCCACCCGCTGTGTTGATCCCGTGCGACCCGCCCCGCCCAAGCCCTGCACAGAGCCATTTGCCAGATAGTCTCAAGCAAAGGCTAGATTAGCACCTCCCTAGAGGACAGAAGTTTTCCCACTGCAGACACAGCTGATTCTCACAGCCAGTTGGCCTGGAGGTCAAATCCCCCCAGTATTAACTACAACAATCAAGGCTTAACTACAACAAGACTGCACACAAAGACCACTAGGGGGTGCACCAAGAAAGCATAAAAAATGCGGAGACAAAGAAACAGGACAAAACTGTCAATGGAGGATATTGAGTTCAGAACCACACTTTTAAGGTCTCTCAAGAACTGTCTAGAAGCCGCCGATAAAGTTATTGAGATCCTCAAGAAATCTAATGAGACCCTCGATGTTGTGATAAAGAACCAACTAGAAATTAAGCATACATGGACTGAAATAACGAATATTATACAGACTCCCAACAGCAGACCAGAGGAGCGCAAGAATCAAGGCAAAGATTTGAAATGCGAAGAAGGAAAAACACCCAACCAGAAAAGCAAAATGAAAAAAGAATCCGAAAATACGAAGATAGTGTAAGGAGCCTCTGGGACAGCTTCAAGCGTACCAACATCAGAATTATAGGGGTGCCAGAAGATGAGAGAGACCAAGATATTGAAAACCTATTTGAAGAAATAATGACAGAAAACTTCCCCCACCTGGTGAAAGAAATAGACTTACAAGTCCAGGAAGCGCAGAGAACCCCAAACAAAAGGAATCCAAAGAGGACCACACCAAGACACACCATCATTAAAATGCCAAGAGCAAAAGACAAAGAGAGAATCTTAAAAGCAGCAAGAGAAAGAAACTCAGTTACCTACAAGGGAGTACCCATACGACTGTCAGCTGATTTCTCAACAGAAACTATGCAGGCCAGAAGGGAGTGGCAAGAAATATTCAAAGTGATGAATACCAAGAACCTACAACCAAGATTACTTTATCCAGCAAAGCTATCATTCAGAATTGAAGGTCAGATAAAGAGCTTCACAGATAAGGAAAAGCTAAAGGAGTTCATCACCACCAAACCAGGATTATATGAAATGCTGAAAGGTATCCTTTAAGAAGAGGAAGAAGAAGAAAAAGGTAAAGATACTAATTATGAACAACAAATATGCATCTATCAACAAGTGAATCTAAGAATCAAGTGAATAAATAATCTGATGAACAGAATGAACTGTTGATTATAATAGAATCAGGGACATAGAAAGGGAATGGACTCACTATTCTTGGTGGGGAAAGGGGTGTGGGAGATGCGGGAAGAGACTGGACAAAAATTGTGCACCTAGGGATGAGGACAGTAGGGGGGTAAGGGCAGAGGGTGGGGCAGGAACTGGGTGGAGGGGAGCTATGGGGGGAAAAAAAGAGGAACAAATGTAATAATCTGAACAATAAAAATTTACTAAAAAAATAAAATAAAATAACTACTGAAAGCTTATTTATCTCTCGGATTCTATGAAATTTATGATACTTCTCCTGTATCTTTCAGAACTTATTATTCTACAGATAATTAGAAACCATTTTAGAAATACCGCTAAGAATATCAAATATATGTAGCATGGATTAACTTTCACATATGACATACATTTAATGAGTTTGATGTCCTTTGTTAGGGATCCATGTATTTTTTTTTTAAGAAAAGTTTTTATTGACTTCAAAGAGAGGAGGGGGAGAGGGAGAGAGAGAAAGAAACATCAATGATGAGAGAATCATTGATCAGCTGCCTCCTGCACGCCCCCTACAGGAGATTGAGCCTGCAACCTGGGCATGTGCCCTGACCAGGAATCAAAGTGTGACCTCCTGGTTTATAGGTTGACCCTCAACCACTGGACCACACAGGCTGGGCAGGGATGCATGTATTTTTAATAGTGTAAAATTCACGCATTGTAAATGTACACTTGAACCGTTGTAGTAAATGTGCAGAGTTGTGCAGAAGTGTCCACTCTGTTACGTGGTATTTTTTTTTAATATATTTTATTGATTTTTTACAGAGAGGAAGGGAGAGAGATAGTTAGAAACATCGATGAGAGAGAAACATTGATCAGCTGCCTCCTGCACACTCTCTACTGGAGATGTGCCCACAACCAAGGTACATGCCCTTGACCAGAATCGAACCCGGGACCCTTCAGTCCGTAGGCCGACGCTCTATCCACTGAGCCAAACCGGTTATGGCGACGTGGTATTTTTTAAGTGGAGATAAGTGCCGTCTTTCGCTCTCAGTGATAATTGTAACTCACAGAAAGTGTCCTCTCATTTAGGATCTTCATTTAGATTTGAACCTGGGTTTTTTGTTTGTTTTCTTGTAATTACGTATCAGAGAAAAAGAGGGTTGAGGTGATTCTTTGTCCTCTGGAAGGGTTCTTGTTAGAGAGCTCTGTAATAAAAGTAAGAGTAATCTCCATGGGTTCACGATGGACTCGTAGGAAGACACTGACCACACGTATCCAGTCTGGGGTGAGGCTGCCCTTCTCACCCAGGGGTGGCCCACCCCAGGCCTCCTCAGGAGCTCTTTCTCATCTCTAATGGCTCTGAGGAATTTGGAGACACCCTAAGGTCTTGGTTGATAATCCTTTTTCCCCAAGATTATTGCACTCATATCCCAATGTTGCAGTTTTAGATCTTACTCTGATTAATTTGAGAAGATGGAGGATATGGTGGTGGGTCATGGGGACTATTCAGAGTAATATAACAGCACCTTGAATAACGTCGTTTTGTTAGGACGTTTATGAGATGCTGAAGGAACTCGACTCTTGTTGAACATGAGACCTCCATGCTCTCTGCCCCCGGCTGGGCCACAGAGTCTGATTCCTGGTCTCACCCACGGAGGCAAGGAGTGGAGGGTTTTCTTAGCATGTCGAGCTGATGCTGTGCATGGTTGACCTGGTGACCTGGAGGTGCCTTCAAGGTCCACTGTGTTCTTTCCTCGTCGGGGCCTTATTTACAAAACGACTTTTGGAGCCACTACCACGCTTTGGCACAGCACTGGCTCTGCCTGGGGCCCAGCAGGGGGATGACACTAACCTGGTGTGGGTTTTGGCTTCGTTCTGCAGTGCTGGCCAGAAGAGCCGTGCAGGAGTACATCATTACGTCCATCAAGGAGGTGCTGAGGATTCACTTCAACCGCGCCGTGGAGCTCAAGGTGAGTCCCTGTGGCGGAGAGGCTGACGCCGGAGCCCCGGTGAAGGCAGCGTTACAGTGGTCGTGGACCGTTCTCTTTCCGCTCTTTCCTCCCTTCCCCACCTCTGCCAACGTATCCCTCTAATGGACTAATCCTGGCCCAATTAGAGGGTTGTATTGGCAGAGTTGGAACAAAGGGGCTCCAAGACCAGAGTTTGGGGTGATGACCCTAACGATTGTGCTTCTCTTGATTTACATGAAAGGACTGGGAGTAGAGTTTAAATTAGATTTTAGAGAGAGTGCCTATCCACGTTTCTGTACATTCAGTGAGACAGAGGTAAATTGCCAGATGTCTTATGGTGGGTACTGTGCTAATGCCTCCTCTCCCCTCTTGAGCTCTGATGCCACACTGAGACCCCTCACCTTCCCAGTGGGAGCCACGAGCCACATGTGGCTACTGAGCAAATGAAATGGGGCTGTCTGAATTGAGGTGGACTGTCAGTGCCAAATACCATGGGATTTTAAAGACTTAGTGAAAAAAGGAACGTAAAATATCTCACTAATAATTTACATTGAAACGATATGTCAGATGTCTTGGGTTAAGTAAAATGTCTTTAAAATTAATTTCACCTCTTTCTATGTTTTTTTAATGTGGCTCCTAGAAGCTTTACAATTGCATATGGGGCTCACATATTTCTTTTGGACAACACTGCTCAATAGGATAACTATTTCTTTATATGTGGGTTAACACAGCAAACACTTTGAATTCTCCATAACTCCTTATTCAGTTCATATTGCTGGCTATTCTTTCTCGTTGTCCTTGCTCTTGTAATTTTGTGCTATTTTTGAGAAGGATAGCAGATGTGCAAAAGTAATTACTAAAATAAAATTTTGAATGTCTGTGAAGCACTAGCCCTTCGTTTAAGACCAGCTATTTATTTTTTTACATTACTTTATTATTTTTTCTGTTCAGTACAATTTCCTGTACATGTGGTTGATGGTAATTTGGTTAGATAATTTGATAATTATTATCTTTTGTCTTCTTTATTTTCATAGGTTTATGAACTATTCGCTGACTTCACTTTTCTGGTAACATCTGGTCCTTTCGTTTACACGGCAATATCAGTCATAAACGTGCTTATAAACAGTAAACTTGTACGCGACCAAACTCCTTTAATCCTGGCTGTGAAACCTTCCTTCCTTGTGCCGGAGTCCAGGTTCCAAGTTCAAACGGGTGAGCACACTGTCCATAATTGTTTTGACTTGTAAATAGAATTTTACTTTTTTTTTAGAAGTTTTTTTTTTTTTAATTTGGGGAAGATTTTTAAAAATTTATTTAAATTTTCAAAACTATTATTACGGAAAATTTCTAGCATATACAAAAGTACACAGAATAGTTTAATGAACCCCTTGCACCTCTCATACGGTTTCAACAATTTTCAACTCCTTGTTACATCCACACTCCCATTTACATCCCCTCCTCTCACATTATTTTGTTTGTTTTTTCATTAAATTTATTGGGGCGACATTTGCTAATAAAATGATAAGTTTCGAATGTACAATTCTGTGATATATTATCTATATATTGCATTGTGTGCCTACCACCCAAAATCAAATCTCCATCCATCACCCCTTTATCCTTTGCTACTCTCCAACCCCCCTTTCCCTCTGGTAACTGCCATGCTGTTGTCTGTGTCTATGAATTTTGTTTATCTGTTCTTCTTGTTTGTTGATTTGTTGCTTTCAGTTTTATATCCATATGAGTGAAACCATGGTTCTTGACTTTTTCTGTCTGACTTATTTCTGAAATACTGCCATTTGTGACAACATGGATCAGTCTTGAGACTATCTCACATTATTTTATTATGACATCATATCATCTCATTCATAAATCTTTCAGCCCATGTCTCGAAAAGAGAAGGATTATTAAACATATATACATAAATACATATACATACACACATACATGTATCCATACATACATATATACATCATATACATATATCTGTCAATATCATTGTCACACTCCCCAAAGTTCACAGTAATTCTTTACTATCATGTCTAACTTTTTATTGTGGACATTTTTCAAACATACAAAAAATAGAATAACATATTAAGCCCACATATGACCATCACTAAGCTTAAGAAATTATCAACATTTTCCCAATTTTGTTTCCTCTATCTCCCATACATTTTTTTGAGGAAGGTAGAGTGTTTTAAAGCAATTCCAGATAGCATGTCATTTTCCCATAAATACTTAAGAATTCATCTCTAATTCATATATATTTTGAAATGTTTCAGTCAGTTGTTAAATATTTTCTCATTTAAAAATGATAACGTCACCTTCACATTGCATATTTTCGTTTGTAGCAGAGATGGCTTTTTGCAGTTCCATGACATATACATAAAAAATAACACATCTGCCCTAACCGGTTTGGCTCAGTGGATAGAGCGTCGGCCTGTGGACTGAAAAGTCCCAGGTTCGATTCCGGTCAAGGGCATGTACCTTGGTTGCAGGCACATCCCCAGTAGGGGGTGTGCAGGAGGCAGCTGATCGATGTTTCTCTCTCATCGATGTTTCTGACTCTCTATCCCTCTCCCTTCCTCTCTGGAAAAAATCAATAAAATATATTAAAAAAAAAAATAACACATCGTAGAACTTAACCCTGTTTATGGATGAATTAGTTGATTTAGATACTGTTTCTCCCTCTCCTTACTCCTTGATACTAAAAAAATGCCTCGTTCATGGGCCTGTGATTTCTTTCAGTCCTTCAGTTTGTGCCTCCGAGCGTGGATACTGGCTTCTGCAACTTCACCCAGCGCATTGAGAAAGGCCTGATGATAGCGCTCTCCGAAGTGAGGAAACACCACCAGGGCACGTATAACCTCACGGTGCAGGTGAGAACAGCACTGGATGCAGAACAAGGTGCTTTAGTCTTTAAAGAGGCTAGTTTTATGTTTCGTTGGAGCTGCACTTAACCCTTGTTAATTCGCTCCAGTGGAGGGAATTCCATTCACGTGGATCTGAGTTGATCTCTTTTCTTGACATTGGAGTAGCATAACCAGGGAGCTCAGATCTGGTGAGCTGAGGAGAGATGAGTATATGCAGGAGATTCAAGAATGTTTTAAAAAGGAACCATATCAACCTGTAGCATATCCAGTGGGGGTAATGCCTAAATAAACTGTTGTTCCCTATTGTGGCATACCAGGAAGGCAGTGCTTCCCTTACAAACAGAGAGGCTAGCTACTGATCAAAGAACAGGTGTTGTATGTATTATATGGAAACTGCTGATATTTTTATATTTCTTTGATGTTTTTTCCTCCATCTTCTTTGTGTTCTCGTTCTGGAATTCGTATTAAATAGATTTTGGTGCTCCTGGGTTCACTTTTCATACCTCTTATGTTTTTAATCTCTTTTATAATTCCCTATTTTTACAGATTTTCTAAACTTTGTCCTCCAGGTCATTCATTTACTCTTCAATTGTGTTTATTATGTTACTCAATCTCTCTATTGAATTTTCTTTCAGCCATCACTTTTTCATTGTTCTCTGCTCCTTCATAAAATTTTTTTATTTCAGCCTTTCCTGCAGTGATTCAGGATTCTCTCATATGAGGATATAATGTCACCTTGAAAGTCTCTGAGAACATTAGTGTTTTTTAAAAGTTGTCTTTGGGTTCCATTCCCGGTCAGGGCACATGCCTGGGTTGTGGGCTCGATCCGATTTATTATTCTCTCTCATCACTGATGTTTCTCTCTCTCCCCCTCCCTCTCTCCCTCTCTCCCTCTCTCCTCCTTCCTCTCTGAAATCAGTACAAATATATTTTTAAAATAAAGTTGTCTTCTGTTTGCTGGGTTATCTTTATTTTCTTTGCAGCCATTGTACTGTGTCAATCTTGGCTCTTTGCTTTCGTGCTATCGGTTTTCTGTAAATGCCTGGAGACCATTGGTTGGTTGGTGTTGGAATGAAGGAGCAGGTGGTTAATTTTGGCAGCTCATTTGGCTTTCCCCTTCCGCTGTTGGGTTTGTTTCTCTGTCACCCTTGTGTCCTGATGGGAGATTCAGTGGAACACTGGGCACTGGGCAGACTCTGTTGGTGGTGGGCTTCTCTCTGGGGCCATGAGTGGTCAGAGACAGCAGACTGGGACCCCTGCCACCAGTGCAAGAAAAGGAAGTTGTGCCCGGGGATGGAGTGTGTTTGTATTTTTCAAGGCAGAGCTGCTTTTTCTTTCATTGTCTCTCCTTCTTTGTCTCTTGTGAACACTACTGACCCTTGCTTAGGGTTCTGACCATGGGTAAAATCTCTCGGTCTTCTCAGGCAGGGAGCTCATTGTCCTTAGGGAGCAGTGCTTTGAGCTATTTTGGGGGAGACGTGGCTGCTATTAGCATCTCTGTGTTGTCCTGGGTGTGGCTATTAGAAAGGAAAGAGGAGGGAGGAAATGGACTGGGCTCCTGGGCACACAGCCTTTAATTAATTATGGCAGCAGACTCTGGGTTCTTCTGGATCCCAACTGTGGAGCCTGAGCCTGTGTGTGTTCTGGGTCTTGGTCACTCCGTTCTGGTTTATATCAGCATGATCCCATCCTCTCCATTTTCCAGAAATTTGACAGAATCTCAGGTTTTCTTCCATTCTCAGTGCCGTTATGGACTTACACTTCTTTGTTCAGCTTTACTGTTCTTTCTGTGGGCTCTAGGATGGGAGGGGGAGGGGAAGGGGCTATACATACATGTGCTCAGTTCATCACTTAATGTAAAAAACGTTTTCACTATCCTGAGGATTTAAAGTATTGCAAAAGGGAACCAGGACATTGAAACCCGTTACTCTTCCTTTAAAAATGTTCCCTCTTTTTTTTTAAACCCTCATCCAAGGATATGTTTATTGATTTGGGCGGGGGTGGACGGGGGGGGGGGAGAGAGAGAGAGAGAGAGAGAGAGAGAGAGAGAGAGAGAGAGAGAGAGAGAGAGAGATGGATGGATGAGAGAGGTGAGAGAGAAACATCACTCAGTTGCCTCCTGTACACGCCCCCTACTGGGGATTGAACCCACAGCCTAGGTATGTGTGCCTCGACCAGGAATTGAACCTGCAACCTTTTGGTGTACAGGACAATGCTCCAACCAACTGAGCCACATGGCTAGGGCCAAAAATGTTCCCTCTTTTTGGGGAGAAAAAAATCGACGAGAGAAATTATAGTCAAGCTTTCAGCGGTCTGTTTTCATTTATTATAGAAACTGCTTTTGACTTCCTTCTTTCAGATCTTGAATATCACTGTGGGCTCTCCCAGGGTGGCGCCTCGCCGGGGCCCCGTGAACATCGTCTTTGCTGTTAAAGGCACACAGGGGTTCTGGAATGGGACGCAAGTGAGCGAGCTGCTCAGGAACCTGAGTGTGGTGGAGTTCAGTTTCTATCTGGGGTACCCGGTGCTCCAGATCGCCGAACGTGAGTACTGCTCTCCTGGCCGGCGCTGGGAATGCTGCTGTGAGCCTTTTGTTGGTGGCCCGCTTTTTCTCAAATGAAATGTTTAGCCGAAATCCAGAATATAAACCAGATACCTTTGGAACGTCTCAGAATCAAGCCAGGGTGGGCCTCCAGAGCCCTCCTCACCCTGGGCCTCGGTTTTTTTCTCTGTTGAGAGGAATGGGTGCTATTAAAGATTAGGCCAGTTCTGCAAAGGTGAAAAGAGGGTGGAGAACAGATCTCTGGTTGCCAGGGATGAGGGTGGGAGGAAAGCTAGATCACAAAAAGGGTAGCAGGAGGCAATTTGGGGGGGAGGATGATGAGATTGTTCTACATCTTTATTGTGGTGGTGGTTACATGACTCTATGCATTTGTCAAAGCCCATAAAACTAGACCCCCAAAAGAGTGAGACTTAAACAAACAAAACTTTTCTTCCTGGCAATTAGATTCACAGTGCAAATGGAGGGGGTTGGGAGTGGAAGAGACATTTACTTCCAAAACAAAAAAAGCAGTAGATTCCAGAGTTGAAGTCAGGCCAAAAAAAAAATCAAAATGGAACAGCCAAATGGTCTAGTGATTCTTCCTGTATTTAGTGTACTGTTAATTAAATGCTAAAGGATAACTTGTCAAGTGAAGCAGTAGACAGGGACATAATCGTTATTTACATCGAGCAACTTTCAGCTGTGTGTGTGACGATGGGGGTAAAATAATACGCTGGATGATAGGCCCGTCCCATGCAAGCCCGACAAGGGTCGCTTGGCCCGGAGTCACTGCTGGGAAACCCAGGGCCCTGAGGAACACAGTGTGAAAACTCACTGCTCTGGAGCAATGGCTTTTCAAGGGGATGGTGCGGGTGATCCTGGGACGCGGTGTCCCACGATGTCACTGGAGCAAGCCCTTCATTTCATTTTGTCCCTCTTTCCCCGTGAAACTAATGTGCTCCGAGACTGCTCACTGTCCACACCTTCACACCAGTCGGGCATTTTCTTCTTCCATATTTAGTGCTCAATCACATAGGAAAGGCAGTCCCTTGTGACTTACCCGGTGTTTCCTTTCTGACTGTGGCAAGCATGTTTTTTACAGATTGGTCTCCTTCCCTAACCCTTTCCTTTTTATAGCCTTCCAGTACCCGCAGCTCAACCTGTCTCAGTTGTTGAAGTCCTCGTGGGTAAGAACAGGTATGTGTAATGTGACACCATATTTTGGGAACTGTAATAAGAAGAAGTCTGTGCAGGGATATTAAGAATGATACTGCCTTTCCTGTTTCTCAGTCCTAAATTCAGGGCAAAGTGTACCTTAAATTCTTGGCAAAGAATGAATGAGAAAGGGATTCAGATTTGACTGTGGAACGTGTCCCACTGAGTTATGGCCCAAAAAGGGTTGGCTCCCTCTAAAATTCATATATCAAGTCCAGGGCAGTCTAACCGGAATTGACAGTATTCTGACCCAGAATAGGATGAGGTTCTGAAGCAAGGATCTTTTTTGTTTTTTTCTTTCTTTCTCTAAAAGCCTTATTTGTTTGGTTTTATAAGGACAAGGAAGGTAACTTGGTGAGCAAATAAGAAGCCTTTTTAAAAGTCTTGGAGACCTGGGTCAGATATTTACAGCTATGGCATTGCCAAATGAGACTTCCTCACCTGGTTATACAAAAGTGTAAGAGGTAGTAAGCTGCTCATTGGTGCCCGGTGTGTGAGCAGCACTGTGAGGAGCTAGTCATGGGAGGAAGCACATAGGTGGTGACAGTCACCATTTTGTGTTCCCGTACCTGCTAGTCCTTCTTGCTTCACATACAACATTCCATGGAAAGGCCCCACCTCTGCCTGGTACCGTGGCCTCATTTTCCAGATAGTTTTCCTAGCGGTTCAGTGACTTGCCCCTGGTCCTGTCTCAGGGGATTTGAGCCAGTGCTGGCTGAACAGAAAATCTGGCAGATTGTCTGCTTAGATAATCTTGTTTACAGCAGATGTCTGAAGACAGGCACCTTATCTTGAGTCAATTTATGAGACAAGATATGAACTTAAACCATTTCCAGAAATCTTGAAAATAAGTGCAAAATGTTTGATCTTGTGCAGGCCCTCTTAGCCGCCAAGCCCCTGTGCATTGCTGTGTTTCTGGGACTTCTGGCCACCAGCCCTTGTAGCACGTGGAGCTGGGAACTGTAGACAAGACTCGTGGGCAGCACTTCCGGGATTCTCCCTCGTTTTCCCCCTTTTTAATGTCTCCTCTCAAGGGCAGCGATTTTCAACCTGGGCGTCGCAAGAATTTTTAAAACCTGCAGCACCCATGCTATTTAGTTAGGGGCACTGACCTCTTTTCCCTTAAATTGTCAAGTAAAAAACTGACAGCAGCCAACACAACAATAACGATCCGGTGTGAATGAATCAAAATTATACTAATTATCTTTTCAGATTGCCATATTGCAGAATTTTAGTAATTAGTTTATGTGTGCCATGAGATGAAAAAGGTTGAAAATCGCTGCTCTAGGGATTGGCATTCTACAGTAACCCTATGCTACTTTCTCTTATACACTCACCCGTTTTTTCTGCCCCCGCTAACTCACTGAGGGGCCTGTGTGTGTTTCCATTTAAATGTAGTGCTCCTGGGCGTCGTTGAGAAGCAGCTCCAGAATGAAGTGTTTCAAGCTGAGATGGAGCGCAAACTGGCCCAGCTGCTGAGCGAGGTTTCCACCCGGAGGCGGATGTGGAGAAGGGCCACCGTGGCTGCCGGGAACAGCGTGGTGCAGGTACCCATGGAGGCCAGAGGAGGAGGGGAGGAGAGAGAGCAGGCTAACACTGTCCCGTGTTTTCATGCAAAGGAGAAAATTCTGACTGAGGTGGATTGCTATAGTAAGGTGGCACCTGAATGGGGTAGCATTTCAGTTCAACTAGAGTCTTAGACAAATATTTCCTGAGCCCTCAGTAAGTGGTCGGTACAGGAATGGACGTTATGGGGAGCACAGTGGAAGAATTGTGTTAGTGGATTGTCATGCCATCAGATGACCTTATTTTTCAAAAAATAATTTTTTAATACCCAGAATGTAATCAGTTGTAGAATGGTAATGTTACTCATAGCATCGTAGAGAGAACCATTCATCGGGAACAGGCCATAAGAGATCGGAAAGAGGAAAATGTTCTGCCCTCTATTCTAGCTCCTCCTTCTGCCCCCCCCCCCCCCCCCCGGTTGTCTCACATTGCTCAAATGTTCTTCACCCTGTAACTTGGCAGAGAGGTTACAAATGACAGATTCATTTGAGTCAAAAAGTGACCCATTTTAAAGTGCACAGGCTCACAGTGAGTTGGAGGTTGGGGCTGAGGTATATTCCATCTCAATGTGCATTAATGTTATTTTGGATTTTTCCTTTAACAACTGCTGCTTGTAGAGCTAGGAAAATGGGATATTTAGAACTGTGGCATTCCAGACAGGAAACCAGGGTGGGACCCAGACATGTCGGGGTGGGGAGGTTGATGGTTTAGGAGCACTAGAGAGAAGAATGGAGAACTGATGCTTGTGTTGGTGGGGGATTGTTGGCCTAGAGCTAGCATCATTGCCCCCAACTCTTTCACCAGGTTTCCCCTGTAAGCATTGCTCTTTATTTCCCCTCCCACAGAGGTGGTGGTTAGGTTTCTAAAATAGTTCCTTTGCTGGATGCAATAGAATACAGAGGAACTTGCCCTAGTCGGTTTGGCTCAGTGGATAGAGCGTTGGCTTGCGGACCTAAGGGTCCCCGGTTTGATTCTGGTCAAGGGCACATGCCTGCATTGCGGGCTCGGACCAACATGCAGGGGGTAGCCAATCAATAATTCCCTCTCATCATTGATGTTTCTATCTCTCTCTGCCTCTCCCTTCCTCTCTGAAATAAATAGGGATGTATTAAAAAAAAAAAAATGGAAAAATATCCTTGGGTGAGGATTAAAAAAAAAAATACAGAGGAACTTAAAAACTAATAAAAATTGAGAGTAATATTATGGTAATTAATATAACTATAAAACAAATATATATGAATATAAAATAAATAAAAATGAAAATAAATTATAAAAGGTTGGCCTTATTCAGTAGCCTTGGCTTCACAGAACTCAAGGTCTGGGTAGAGGTTAATAAATGCACATAATGCAGTTATAAAGCACCATCAGATGACATGATGAGGTGCTACATTAGATTGGAAGGCTCCATAAGGAATATTGGATTTGTGAACATTAACCAAACTACCCCATGGTAACGGTGCCATCTGATGGGTTGCTTAGAAACCGTGCCCTGCTTCTCATCTGCATTTGAGACAAGGACTTAAGTGCAGAGCACAGGACCCTTCAGACATGTTTGTAAAAGTGAAAGTATTAAAACAATCTAAATGTCCAGCATCTGGGGAATGGGTAAATAAATTGTCGTGACCTTTTATATGTTGGAATATAGTGCAGCCATTGTCATTTTTTTAAGTTAGTGAGCAATATAGAAAAATCTTAAAGAGAGGCTGTAAAAGAATGTATGCAGTTTAATCCAAATGTTAACGTAAAATCCATGAAAAAATTAATGGAAGGAAATATGCCAAAATATTTACAGTGATTTTCTTTGGTTGAATTTGAGGTGATTTTCATTTTATTCATTATATATTTTCCTTCGTGCTTTTCGAAATTTCTCCAATGAACATGTAATTTCTATAGTGAACTTGTGATTTTAATCAGAAAATAATTTTTTATACTAAGTATTTTATTTGTATGCTGCTGCCAGTGTATATAAAATAATCATTCTTGTGAAATAGAAATTCATGAAAATTCAGAGAGGTAGATGTTAAGGACTAACAAAAGCAGAAGTTTGTGTAGTATGAAACATGTTATAGGGTAAGCTTTTTATACAGGCTTCAGATTTAGCTCTCTGACTACTCACCAGTTCAAGAAAAGTGGTTTAGAACGCCTTCAAAATTCATTTTACTACAAGAAGGAACAAGCTTTCTGGGGTCTGAAGGGATTGGTACTTGAAGATACTCCAGTCAGCGGGAGGTCAGCATTCTGCAGACAGAATTGTTTCAGATCTGCAGCTGCCTGGGAAACCTTCATGCGTTGAGCCCAGCCTCCAGCCTCCAGCCAGAGCTGTTGAACCACTTTCTTCATAGCGGTGACACTGGAGGAACCAGACATGGTGCATGCGAGCGCCGGGCAGATTGGTTGGTAGCGGGTCGCAGGTCTGCGGGGGCCAGATGGCGGGGCAGCAGAAATAATTTTAAAAATGAAATTGAAAATGTTGCCCAAAATGATGACTCTGTCACACCGTGGTTGCATGGATTCCTGCTAGGAGTCTGATAAGAGGTCACCCAAAGAGATGCTGGAATGAGCTTTTCCTGACTGTGATTGACTTGCTTTTTATTTTTTTTTTAAAATTTTTATTGGTTAAAGTATTACATATGTCTCCTTTTTCCCCGATTGACACCCCCTCCAACCACTCCCTCTCCCCAGTAGACTTGCTTTTTAGTAGCCCTTTGTTAATAGTCATCCTGAAGACTAATAAAAAATTAATACCACTCAGGGACAGGAGTAGGTGATTAGGGAACAGAAGTGGTCAGGGAACTGGCCTAGAAACACCAGAGGGCAGGACCGATGAGCACATCTCAGGATGGAGAGGCATAAAGAACGGTTTCTCCAGGGATGAGGGTTTGGATCCGTGTTGTTAAGGATCTTTATATAAGAAGGTGTTCGCAGTGAAATCATGAAGTTGTTGATTGGCCAGAAGTTTCCAGTGGTGAGGGAGTCTAGCAGCCGTGTCTGGAGTGCAAGGCAGCGTTACAGCCCTGCACACGTGGCTAGAAAAGTGGCAGCTCTTTTGCCAGTAGCAGGTGCAGAGACGAAAGGTTCTAATTGCGTGTCTGAAATAGAGGGCTCGGAGTCACGGTGGATCACTTACTCAGAACACCAGTCAGCGTCCTCCTGGAGTCTGAATGTGCAATAGAATTGTTGCATATTAATAAGAGAAATAGCACAGAATAGAAAACTCTATTTATGTGAAACTGTGACCTATCAAATGTACCAATTTCTGAAGTGCTAATGTAAAGGACTACCCTGAACACCAGAGAGATACAGATTTTGGAACAAATCAAAGTACTATTTAATCCGGCAAATTATGTATTTATGAGATTTTTTTTCCAGCTTGATTGAGATACAGTTGACGTAGGACATTGTGTAAGTTTAAGGGGTGCAATGTAATGATGTGACATAAGTACGTATTGCGAAATGATTACCGCAGTAAGGTTAGTTAGTTAATACACCCATTGCTCACAGTTACTTTTGTGTATGTGTGTGTGGTAAGAACATGTAAGGTCTATTCTCTTAGCAAGTCTTAAGTATACAGCATAGTATCATTAACTGCATTCTCCATGCTGTATATTAGATCCCCAGACATAAAACTAGAAGTTGGTTCCCTTTGACAACCTGTACCCATTACCCTCAAGCCCAGCTTCTGGAAGCCACCAATCTACTCTGTGAGTTGCCTTTTTTTTTTTTTTTAAGATTCCACATATAGATGAGATCATACAGTATGTGTCTTTGACTTAAGTCACTTAACATAATGCTATCAAGGTCCGTCCATGTTGTTATAAATGGCAGGATTTCCTGCTATGTTTATGGGTGAATATTATTCCATTTTTTTTGTACGCTACATTTTCTTTGTTCACCCATACATACACACTTACGTTGTTTCCATGTCTTGGCTGTTGTGAATAATACTGCAGTGAGTATGAGGGTGCAGATATCTCTTCAACACAGTGAATTCATTTCCTTTGGATATTTACCCAGAAGTATAATTGCTGGATCATAGGGTAGTTCTATTTTTTTAAATTTGGAGGAACTGCCATACTATTTCCCATAATGGCTGTACCAATTTATATTCCCACCAACAGTGCACTAGGGTTCCCTTTTTATAACATCCTACCAGCACTTATCTCTTGCTTTTTGGTATTAGCTATTCTGACAGGTATGAGGTGATATCTCATGGTGGTTTTGATTTGCATTTTCCTGATGACTAAGATGTTGAGCACCTTTTCATATGCCTGTTGGCATTTGTATGTCTTTGGTAGAAAAATGTCTATTCAAAAATTTTTTTTTTTGCTATTGAGATGTATGAGTTCCTTGTATGTTTTGGATATTAAACCTTTATCAGATATATGATATGCAAATATTTCTCACATTCCATAGGTTGCCTTTTCATTTTTGTTGATTGTTTCTTTTGCTGTGTAGAAACTTTTTAGTTTGATGTAGTTGCGCTTGTTTATTTTTGCTTTTGTTGCTTGTGCTTTGGGTCTCATATCTAAAAAATCTTTGCCAAGACCAGTGTTAAGGAGCTTTTTTCACTGTTTCCTTCTAGGTGTTTCATGGTTTCAGGTATTACACTTAAGTCTTTCCATTAAGAACTAATTTTGTGAGTGATAAGATAAGTGGTCCAGTTTTATTCTTTTGCATGTGAATATCTGGTTTTCCTAACACTATTAATCAAAGAGACTGTCTTTTCCCATTGAGTATTCTTGGCTCCTTTGTCAGCAGGGTCTTTGTGGTTCCATATACAGTTTTGGATTATTTTCTCTATTTCTGTAAAAAATGCCATTGGAATTTTGATAGGGATTGCATTGAATCTCTACTTTGGGTAATATGGACTAATATTTTAACAATATTAATTCTTCTTATATGTGAACATGGAATATCTTTCTATTTATTTGTGGTTTCTTCAATCATCAATGTCTTATAATCTTTAGTGTACGTATTTTTCACTTGCTTGGCTAAATTTATTCCCAAGTATTTTCTTATTTTTGATGCTATTGTGAATGGCACTATTTTCTTTATTTCTTTTTCAGATAGTTCATTGTGAGTTTATAGAAATATAACTGATTTATTTCATTGTGTTGAGTTTGTACCCTGCAAATTTACGAATTCATTTATTAATTTTAATAGTTTTTTGGTAGAATTTTTAGTTTTTTTTTTTTTAATTTGTAAGATCATGTCATCTGCAAGCAGAGACAATTGTTTGTCTTCCATTCTGATTTGGATGCCTTGTATTTGTTTTTCTTGCCTGATTGCTGTGGCTAGGACTTCTGTAGTGTCTAGATTGTCCAATTTGTTGGTGTATCATTATTTATAGTAGTCTCTTTTGATCCTTTCTATTTCTGTGGTATATGTTGTAATACCTCCTCTGTCATTTATAATTTTTGAGAACTCTTACTTTTTCTTGGTTAGTGTAGCTAAACGTTTGTTAATTTTGTTTATCTTTTCAAAGAACCAACTCATTTTGTTAAACTCTTCTATTGTTTTCCTGTTCTCTATTTGATTTATTTCTGCTATAATATTTATTATTTCCTTCTGCTAACTTTGGGCTTAGTTTTTTCTTCATACTCTAGTTCCTTGAGTTGTAAATTGATTGCTTATTTGAGATATTTCTTTTTCATGGTGTATACATTTATAGCTATAAACATTATTATAACTGTTTTTGCTTCATCTCATAAGTTTTGGTATGTTGTGTTTCTGCTTTCATTTGTTTTAAGATATTTCTTATTTTTCTTTTGATCTTTTCTTTGGTCCATTGGTTGTTTCAGGAGTGTGTTGTTTAATTTCCACGTATTTGTGAATTTTCCAGCTTTCCTTTTATTATTGATTCTAATTTCACTATTGTGGTCTGTAAAGATACTTGATAAAATTTCTTGAGTTTGTTGAGACTATTTTTGTGGCCTAGTATATGGTCTAGCCTAGAAACTGTTCTGTGTGCCCTTGGGAAGAATGTGTATTCTGCCATTGGATGTAATTTTCTGTGTATGTCTCTTAGGTTTCTTTGGTCTATAGTGTTGTTCAAATCTTCTGTTTTCTTATTGATTCTCTGAATGACCTGTCCATTATCGAGGGTGGGGTCTTAAAGAATGTATCAGAGTTTTTATCCCAAGGGCAGTGGTTCTCAAACGTTGATGATTTTGCTCCTCCCAGGGCACATTTCGGCACTGCCTGGAGACATTCTGCTTGTCACAACTGGTGGTGGTGGTGGTGGTGGTGGGGGGGGGGGGACGTGGCTGTTACCTCTGGCTTCTGGCAAGTAGAGGGAAGGGATGCATCTAAACGTCTTATAGTGCTCAGTACAGACCTTCACATCTAAGAATTACCTGGACCAAAATGGCAGTAGTACCGAGGTTGAGAAGGCCTGTCCCAGAAGAACAGAGAGAAAATACTGACAGATTCAAGAAGCAATCAGATAGAACCACTAATAGTTCCTCTGTGGTTGATGCTATGAGGACAGGAGCATCCTCCCATGACACATTGGAGCTTCTTGGTAGATTCCCGGACTGGCAGCCTGTGGTCTGTGTACCCTCCTGGCCTTTTGTCTCAGAGAAGCCTTCGAGCAATCCGAAGCGCCTTTGCTATTCTACACAGCGGAACTTGCATCTTAACGGTCCCTCTTCCCAGCAAGAGAGCATGGTAGGGATTCCGGAACCCGAAATAATGCAAGGAGCTTACGATGAGGATGAATAAATGCTGAATAACACAGTCAAGGTTGAGTGCCCAGAGAAAGGGCATCTGGACACATGACTTCTCAAATGCCAATGGTGTCCGTTGTCTTTCAGGTGGTAAACGTGTCGCGGCTGGAGGGAGATGACGATCCCGTGCAGCTCATCTACTTTGTGGAGGATCAAGACGGAGAACGACTCAGTGCAGTCAAGTCTTCAGACCTGATCAACAAGATCGACATTCAGAGAGCAGCCATTATCTTGGGTTACCGAATTCAAGGCGCTGTTGCCCAACGTAAGTGCCCGAGGCTTGGCCCCTGAGTAGCCATCTGCGCTGTGCTGTGATGGGCTCAAAGGCCAGTCTTTTCCTGACGGTGAACTCTGAGTTTAAAGCATTCTTAGGTGGCTGCAGTAGACCTATGTCTTACACCATATTACTAAGTGGCACTTACATAAGATGTCAGTTGTTAGAATGTATTTGAAAGGACCTTTATTTCCATTGCTTGTGGTGATAGCCTTCACTGCCTTTTTTCCTACCTAGTATTTTGTATTCATAGCATTCTACTAGTGAGTTATAGTAACGTAAGTTTACTTTAGTACTTTTTCCCCTACTCTGGTCCTATTTCTCGTTTCAAAAATTTGTCTTAGGTAAAATAACGTGTTTTCTCTGTATTTATTCCAGAATCTTACATGTCATTTTGAACGTTGGTGGGGACAGTGAGTCACGCAGGAAGCCGGGCGGTGCCCTCTGCATTTATTGGCTTCCTTCTGGGTCTTTCCACACAAAGAAGCCCTTGATCCTCACCCTTTTCAATCCTGTTTGCCTCCCACCCTCGCCTCACACCGCTCCACTATTTAGAAAGAGGTTATTTTGATATTTCTTTATTATTTTTGGAAGATACGAGGCCCCTGTCCCCTGGCAAAGGCTGCTCTCAGTACTTTTTTCCAACTCACAGATTTGGGGTATTTAAAATTAAGAAAAGGAGTGGCACGGAAGAGTGTTTTTCTCTCTAAATATACCTTTATGAATCAGAGTGCTATTTTAATGTGACTGTTTTTCCTTTATGATCCTGAGAGCAATTCCTTTCAAAGCTCAGTGATAGTTGCTCCCAACAGTAAAGGGTAGGTGAGTGGTTAGAAGGGACTCAGCATCAGAGAACATTGGAAAACTCTATAGAGCAAATAGGTAGGTAACAAAGGCAGTTTTTAAAATGACAGCTTTGAAATGATTTTTGGCAATAGAGGATTCTTCATGGAATCCATACTTGTCCCTGGACACTAACCAGAAAGAGGGCTAATGGGCACACTTTCTCCATTTTGTAAAAGATGATGGGAGACTTAAGGCAAATAACCACTGGTGGTGTGTGTATTTGAGATGTAATTGTATGTTAGTGTGTTCTATTTCAAAGCAGTGAGAAAAAATAAAGCACGTACTTACATTTTTTTTTTTCATATATGACATTCCTGGTTGTCGGAGCGGTGTCCCACTCCAGAGAAACACTGCACTTTTTAAAAAGATGAATTGGTCCTGGCTGCTGTGGCTCAGTTTGGTGCATGGATGGGCGATCCATGTACCAAAAGGTTGCTGGTTTGATTCCCAGTCAGGGCACATGTCTGGGTTGTAGGCTCAGTTGATGTTTTGCTCTCACATCTCTCTCTCTCTCTCTCTCTCTCTCTCTCTCTCTCTCTCTCTCTCAAAAATCAATAAAAATATTTAAAAACAAAGATGAATTGCAGCAGGGTATGGGCACTTTCCAGCTCACTTCCACCTGTGGTGATAGTTTTTCTTTGCACCTCTCTTTCCTCCTTTTCGTGCCAAAAACCACAGGGGTAACAGTCTGGGATTGGAATCCTATCCAACACCAGGGCAGCCCGAGGCAGCTGCGGGCCCTGGGTCAGGGCCTCGTTGTGATCAACGGTGCCTCTCACAGGGTGTCACTAGGTCAGGACTAAAAAGAACATCTAGTTGTCCCAGCCTCTCAGTGTGATTCTGTCCTTCCTTCTATATTGTTTGTTGTTTTCATGCAAAATGAGCTATATTTAGGCCAAATTTAAAGGTACAGATTTTTATCACTGTTTCCTGCGTAGGCTCTGCTCTGGAACTCGGGCCTCCATCAGTGTGTGTGCTGTAGAGCAGCGGTTGCCAACCGGTGTTCGCGGACCACTGGTGGTCTGTGAGGTCCGAAAGGTTGGCGACCGCTGCTGTAGAAGCCCACTTCCCTCCCTCCCTCTCTCCGGAGCCTCAACCCAAACTTAAAGCAGCACGGAGAATTGTTTGTGTTGTTACACCCTTGAGCAGAAACCTTTCGATCCCATGGCATGTGTTATAGTGGACGTCAAAAGAGCACCAAGTGTGGTCCCTGCCCATGATGACTGAGATGTATTTGAAAAGATGAGACTTAGAGCCATGACCATATTGATGTATCAACGTGGTACATGTATGTAATAAAATACACCTTAAAAGAAATAGTAAGATCCTGCCTGCAAGACAGACACAACCAGAACAGAAGGCAAAGGTGAAGCCTGGAGAGGTGGCTATGAGCCAGCCCCAGTGGATGAGGAGGTTGGGCACAGAGGAGGGGTATTTTGGTTTTCTGAGCCTGGTGACTGGAACCTGAGCTTTAAGAAAGCTGAGTCCTCTGAGGGATGAGTAGGGAGGGCCCAGTCCTGGGAGACAGGGTTAGGGGAAGGAACTGGGAAAAGAAGTTGAGAAGGACGGAGTAATTGAACCATAATTGTCTAAGGCCGTGGAAGATGGGGGGCTGGGGCGGGGGTGGCAGGAAGGGTGGGAGTGGTAGATTCCAAGTAAGCTTGACTTAATTTTACTTTAGTGTTATTATTATTTTAAAAACAAGCTCTGACCAGTTTTATTAAAGAACAGTTTTGCACAACTTGCTTTTCTCCAGGCTGTCCTGGCGTGCTTCTAATGATTTCAGAACCACCTGGATCAATGCTCGCCAGGCTGCACACTCTAGTGCAGAGGTTCTCAACCTTCCTAATGCCGCGACCCTTTAATACAGTTCCTCATGTTGTGGTGACCCCCAACCATAAAATTATTTTCGTTGCTACTTCATAACTGTAATTTTGCTGTTATGAATCGTAATGTAAATATCTGATATGCAGGATGTATTTTCATTGTTATAAATTGAACATAATTAAAGCATAGTGATTAATCACAAAAACAATATGTAATTATATATGTGTTTCCCGATGGTCTTAGGTGACCCCTGTGAAAGGGTCGTTCAACCCCCAAAGGGGTCGCGACCCACAGGTTGAGAATCATTGCTCTAGTGTTTTCCACATGCTGTGCCCAGTCCGGTCTTATTGCCACTGTGGTGATGGACCCCAGTCCCGGCCAATATGGCATAGTCTCTCTTTCGGATCCCCTGAAGGCTGGGTGCCGCTGGCAATGATGACCAGTTTCGCTTTGCCTTGTCTGATCATTTTCAGAGTCTGCTTGTACCCCAGCACGTACTGGCCACTTTTCAAAACGTGTTGGAACCTAGAGTCGATCGGCTCCAGTGACTTTTTGTCTTCTTCACGGCCACCATCTTCCTGCTTTGGGTGTGGGGTGGCCTCCAACCAAGAGCAGCCGCCAAGATGCCTGGGGAGGGAGAGAGGAAGTGATTAAATATGATTTTAAAATTGACAGCTGGTACCTTGGGTAAATCAGTTTTGATTAAAAGCCATGTTTCCAGGGTTTAGGGAGAGACACGGGTGAGGAGATAAGACAGGGCTTGGAGCGTGTATTTAGGATTTCTACTTTTTGGTATGGAAGCATTCCTGCCGTGAGAATTGAGTGGGAGCTGGTAGAATAAACTGAGAGTCAGGAGATCTGACGTTAACCTAGCTTCGCCATTGAAGTAGCCGTATTGCTTTAGGCATGTCCTATCTCTCACCGTGATCCCTAACCCATCTACCACATAACCGTCTGTGTTGTGCTTGTTTACCTCGTCGCGTTTCCTGTCCTCAGGAGATCATAGCCTTTAACCCGCTGCCTTGGGCTGGAATGACAGGAACTTCCCAGGTGTCTCCTAGGAGAAGGCACGCTCCCTGCCCCGAAGGGCTGTCCAGAGAGCGTGTCGCTGAGAGACCTTCCTTCCTTGTCCGCAGCCGTGGACAGGGTGAAGCGGCCGTCGCCGGAGTCCCAGAGCAACAACCTCTGGGTCATCGTCGGTGTGGTCATCCCCGTGCTGGTGGTCATGGTGATCGTCGTCATCCTCTACTGGAAACTCTGCCGCACGGACAAGCTGGACTTCCAGCCCGACGCTGTGGCCAGCATCCAGCAGCGCCAGAAGGTGAGGGCACATCCCCGGCGGGCGTGCATGCGTCTCGCAGGCAGAGATGGGGAAGCCCAGGCTCTCGATACCGAAAGAGAGCCATTAGGGACATCTTTTGGGGTTAATGGTGGTGTCCCTTTGCCTTCGCATCTGCTTGCTGAGGCCCTCGTTCTTCTGTAGTATGAACTGTTTGCAGGAAGGTGAAGCTGTGCAAAGGCTTAGCCAGGCCTTCGAGAACCCTGACTTCCACTGAGATGTTGTTTTTGAGACCATCAGCTAGATCTCATCTGTTCTGGGTATGAGTTCTAATGTCTTTTAACCCTGGATGTCTTCAGAGAATAGGGACAAAGGGAGATTTTTCTCACATCTGTGTGTCTCTTTCTTCCATACACCACTTCCCTGGATGGCTCCTTTATTTTCCATCCACCTGTTGCAAGCTCACCTGTCCACCTTGATCGAGAGCACTTAGTCATTAAAGGATGGTAATGCATGCCATAAACATTTCAACTTAAAATATACGAATAGGTATTTAATTGACATCCTTCAACATAGCTCTTTTTTCTTTTTCTTTTTTATTAGTATCTGTCTGCTGAGAGGAATTCTCTGTGGTCTTTCTTAGAATAAATGCCCATCAGTGCCGTTTCCAGTTTGGGTTTCTTTAAAGAGCAAAGCAACCAGAGTGCCAAGTTCCCCAGGTTTTATAACCCTCCCTCTTCCCGCCCTGCCGTCTTTTCGAATTGACTTCCAATTTGACAACAGCTCCTTGTCCACGTCTCCTAAAGCGTTCAGTTTCGTTTTTATAGTGGCAGCAGTTCTCTTCTCACATGTTCCACCAGTTTCTGCAGTATTTAATGGCCACATGCAAGTTTCAGAGCAATGACATTGACTCTTGGTCGGTATCTAATTCACCTGGTGTGAGCAGTAACATGCCACGTACGCGAGAACTCACTCCCTGCCGACATTCAGCATCATGTGAGATCAGCCATTGCTAAGGGAGTGGACGTGGTCATGACCATATGTATTTATTAACATGTACCTTCTACTCAAAAAGTTAGAGGACTCACTCAGCTCTAAAAGTTGGGTAAGAAAAAGCAAATAAGAAACAAAGAATTGCCTGGTTCACCTTTGAATTTTATTCTGATTGTGTGAGTATAAAAAATTCTGGGCATTACAAACCTAGACCTGCTGAATGAAAAATAAGTATTGTTTTTACATTTATTTCAGGTCTGTAAAGGCAAACGAAGAATATTCCTTTTCTTATGAATTAACTAAGAAATGCAAAATCTTTATTAAGTTGCAAGTACATGGTTATCAAGTATGTTGGAGGCATTTTATACTTCAGTATTCTAGTTGTTACGTGTCTTCATGTATTTTTCCCCTACTTTGCCAAGGTTGTTTTGTGGTTAGACAAATGAATGGCACGGAAAAAAAACCTGGAAAAAAAATTCCTTGCTATTCCAAATGATTCAGAGTGTGAATTTCATTGTCAGGAGATCAGCAATAGATTTGGAAAGTTTTTGTTCTGGTGCAGAGTCCGGTTTCAGAGAGATGTAACCAGTGCAGACGGCTGTGCATTTAGGTCTCTGGTTCCTCAGTTCCTAATGTAAACACTCACTGTGGGAGCCCATCCATTATCTGTTACTTCAAGAAGCTATCAGAGGACCGCATCTCTGAGGTCAAAACAGGGTAGTCCCCAAGCTTTCTCCACCTCCCACTTTTACTTCCGAAATATTGTCACATCCCAGATGTGGCTGTGAAGCAAAGGGGCAGAGTTTCCAACGGAAACGCCAGCCTTTGGAGTTGCTCAGGCGTTTTACAGGGAAGGCCTTCTGCGTGGAGCCTCCCCAAGAGACGGAGTGTCTTGCTCAGAGGGCAGCACCCCGACGTTTCAGAAGCACGGGCTTTGTTTTGCTGGCACAGGAGCCCACCGTCTAGCCCAGGGGTGGGCAAACTTTTTGACTCGAGGGCCACAATGGACTCTTAAACTGGACCGGAGGGCTGGAACAAAAGCATGGATGGAGTGTTTGTGTGAACGAATATAAATTCAAAGTAAACATCATTACATAAAAGGGTACGGTCTTTTTTTTCAATAGTTTTATTCATTTCAAACGGGCCGGATCCGGCCCGCGGGCTGTAGTTTGCCCATGGCTGGTCTAGACTTATCAAGTGTTTTCAGTAGGAAAAGGATGGTCACCGAGGTGACTGTAAGAGTTCCTCTGCTTTTCTGGGTGCCTTTCTGTTTTCTCTCTCTCCCTCCTGCTCACCCCACCCCTGACGCTGCCTCCCTGCGACTCTGAAATCTTGTTCAAACCCCAGAGCTATGAACATCTGGAAACAATCAATCTGGTGAGTGAAAATCCACACCCCCTTCCCCTGTAAGGAAAAGGAAACCTCTTCAGATTGTCTGGGAGTCGATTAGGTTTGAAATAGGATAGAGGGAGAGGCCTTTCTGTCATATTTGGAAGCAGGGTTCTTGCTTCTTTCTAATAATAAAGAGAAACACCCTAACCTGTGCCTTTCTTTTCATCTGTGTTCTCTTTAATCTGGAGCCTAAAGTCACCACTTGTCACTGTTCCCCACAGACCTCCAGCTTGGACCCGCCTCGCCTCGCAGAGGTTCCACTTAAGGATACGGATGGCATGGGCTACCTGCTGCTGGTCCCATGGGAACTTGTTTCTTCCTCTGGGGACAGGCCACTCCCTGTTGTTGGCGCAGGACTGGAGCTCTGTTCCTGGCCGGCTGGCACCGTGGGCCGCCAGGCGGAGCTGCCTCAGAATGGCATGCTCATTCACCAGACACTGAGCATGTGCTCAGAGCCGAGCAGGCCAGGCTGGGTGACAGGCACAGATGACATGCAGTCCTGCTCTCGAGGGCTTTGGTACGGGAGGAGGACAAGGCTACAGTGGCCGACGCAGTCACAGTGTCAGTCCTCCGAGGGTGCTGCAGGAGCGGGGAGCAGGGGCCACCTCTGTCTTCCGAGAGGAGGTGATGCAGGGCTGATGGGCAGGGATGCAGCCAGATGAAGTGGGCCCGGGCGGAGGGAAGGGCACAGAGCTCGAGAAGGCTGGGGCAAGGTTGTATGGAAGGGCACAGCTGAAGCTTCGGAGACAGAGGCAGGCAAGAGCCAGACTTGGAGAGGTTTGTAGGACATGTAAGGGTGGGAAGGGATGCTGTAGGTAGTGGGGACCCACTGAATGGTTTTCGGCAGGGAGAGTAGCTGGAGTGTCTGTCGGTTTGGGATGGTCACTTCGGGGACAGTGTGGCCAGTGGATTGAAGAGATGCTCAGCCAAGTTCAGCTTGGCCTCTGTGATTGCTCTTCGATTCTCTGCAAGGATCCCATGAGGCCTCACGCAGGTGTTTCTAGTTCACCCGCAGTCAGGTGACCATGACCTGCTGTGGCCTGGGGGCAGCAGAATCTTGGAGCACTGCTCTCCCAGACTCGAGACTTGAGGGTGGCAGGGCCCCACGCAGACACACACACGGCAACAACTTCGCCTGGTCCTCACCACTGTGGAGACGCCACGTGGTTGTTGTGAGCTTTCACAGGCCACAGCCATCCAATTGTAAACGCTTAACGCATTCTCTTCGAGATCGCAGATTTTCATTTAGGCTCTGCTGGGATTGCTCTGTGGTTTCCTTTGTCATCTTAGTGCTCCTTTCCAGGGTTCAGACTCACCGAGTACTGGGGACTTCACTCTGTCTTGTCCCATCTGGGTCGTATTATATTTATGGCTCACGTGTTTTAAAATTCATCAGGCGTCTCGCCTGTTACTTGGCTGACCTGCTCCACAAGGCCTTCCTAACTTGTCAGTGACATATTCTGGTTGGGTACTGATCCCAGGGCCTTTCCCCTTTGTGATATATTAAAGAAAGAAGGAACAGCCTGGCCAGTGTGGTTCAGTGGTTGAAGGGTTGACCTATGAACTAGGAGGTCACGCTTAGATTACCTGTCAGGGCACATGCCTGGCTTGGGGCTTGAATCCCCAGTAGGGGGAGATGGGGGAGGGGCATGCAGGAGGCAGCTAATTGATGATTCTCTCTAATCATTGATGTTTCTATCCCTTTCTCCCTCTCGCTTCCTCTCTCTGAAATCAATAAAACATAATTTTTAAAAAAGGAACAAAAGAGCTATCCTTACTCAGAAGTAACTGGGTCCTAAATGAATATTAAAGCACTAATTAATCGCCACCCTTCTTTTATAAGATACGAATTCAGGTTTATTCTGCATATGGAAGTTGGAGACACAGTACATCCAGACTTAACTTTAGATTAAAAAAAAAAAAGAAATAGAAAAAGTGTACCAGAAAGTAGGGTTGAAATGAAAGTAGCTAATTCCATGAGTGTGTGTGTGTGTGTGTGTGTGTGTGGGGAGGGGGGCAGTGATTTCTGTAATTTTTTCCTTCTGTGTGTAAATGGCTTTTGTTTTGTGGGTAAGTACAGATTAGTTGCCAAATTTCTATGTTGTGGAAGGTGGTGACTCACAGAGCCTGTGGGAAGTCTAAGGATCTAATGGGTATATTTAGAGGTGTTAGTGGGACTCAACCAGAAGCAATAGGGCTTCAGGGCTGTGGTGGATGTTTCATTTATGGCAAACACCCTTTCCTTGGTTCCCCCCAAAATTCAATAGGTTCTCTGCCTCAGCTGACCTTTAGAAATTCATTCCGTCATCACCTGTTTGTAGAGCATGTACCATGTGTCACATCCTGTTGCTGAGTTATGGAAGTTTGTATCAGAATTTATATCTACAGCTTTATCTGGTGCCTGGGAACGCTTAGCTGACTGTGTATTAAGTCCTTGATGTTTATCAACCAAGAGCAATAAGAATGCTGTCAGTCTCATTGTAAGGCACTTTGACATAGGGATATATTCATGAGCCCTGAGTTGGTCAGCGAAGGCCTTTAGTTCCTAGACTTGGGGTACACAGGCTGCACCATGGAGACAGTGTGGTTCATATTTTCCCCTTATTCTCTTTGGAGAGCTTTGCTTAGAGGAGGTCTCCAATCTGTGGCTCCTCCTTCAAATTAAAAAAAATATTTCTTCCACTTAGAAAAATGATTAATTTTAGAGAGAGAGGAGGGCAGGGGGAGAGAGAGAGAGAAACATTGATGTGCGAACGAGACATCAATCGGCTGCCTCCTGCGTGCCCCCCACCAGGGATCAAGCCTGAAACCTGACTGGGAATTGAACCGGGAGCCCTCCGGCACACGGGACGATGCCCAACCAACTGAGCCAGACTAGGCAGGGCTTCTCCTTCAATTTTGACAAAGCAAACCATCTACTCACAAAAGAGAGTGTTTCCCAGTCACTAGAGGCATTTGCTTTCTTACTGGGGAATATACCAAAAAGGGTTTTACCAGGATTGATAGGACGATGCTGATGGTGATGACGATTATAACTGTTATTCTTTTGTTTAGAGGCACCTTGTTTATGGAGCTAAAATGAGGTGTCACAGCCACATGGGTGAGAGGTGCGACTCTCTTCTGTAAAGTAGGAGGTCTTTTATGAAAGGAGGCTGGACAGGGGGACCAGCCTGGTGCCCAGATTCCCGGCGCACTCAGGAAAATCACGTTTAGGTGAGAGCATATAAAAAGTTGTCCACCTGGAATTTGATTCCCTTAAGGGGACTACGTGCCTCTAGAAAGGTGTGCACCCCCAGGGATTTGGTGTGCTAATCCAGTCTCAGGGATGAGGATTTATCCTGGGGGGAGGGTTGGGGGTGGGGAGCCATGGAGCAGCAGGTTGGGTTTATTGTTTTCGAAACAGCATTCCTGAGCCGAGGGGTGTGTGGCAGTCACACACTGTCTGTGTGGTGGAGTAGCCTGCTCTTGAAACACGATATCATCGATTTAGAAAATATAGGTAGGCCAGTCTTTGCCTTTTGTTTCCAAGCAACATCTTTGTAAACTATATTTACAGTAAGTTTTGTCTCCCTCTGCTGGCATAAATCATGGTTGCAGATTTACTCTCCTACCCCATTAATCTTGGATTTTTAGTGCTAAAAAGAGGTTAGAGTTAGAGATCACAAATCTAAGCCGTTAGTGTTGTTACTCATCTCTGCATAAAGTTGGCAAAAATACAACAAAACCTTGTGCTTCTGCACATGGTCTCTTGGCTAAAACAACTCCATAGACGGGTTTGCCTATGTATGTCTCTTGACTGATATGACTACCTGTGGGTGTGGGACATAGCCTGGCTGGGAGGGCTTAGTCTTGCACGTGGCCTTCCTGCTGGCAATGAGGAGACCCTTGAGATGACTACTTATATGCAGTTTATTGTCCTACTAGAGGCCCAGTGCACAGATTCGTGCACCAGTGAGATCCCTCGGCCTGGCCTGTGGGGATTGGGTTGAAACCGGCTTTCCGACATCCTCTGAGGGGTCCTGGATTGTGAGAGGGCACAGGCCAGACTGAGGAACTCCTACCAGTGCATAATCGGGGCTGGGGAGGGACTGCAAGAGGACTCCAGGGCATGTCCGGCCCATCTCGCCCAGGCTGATTGGCTGGACCCCAGCAGCAAGCTAACCTACTGGTCGGAGCGAATGCCCCCTGGTGGTCAGTGCATGTCATAGCGACTGGTCGAACAGTCCAACGGTTGTACACTTAGCATATCAGGCTTTTATTATATAGGATGCCCTGCAAGCTCAAATTAAGGAAATGGTTAATACCTAGTGGTGCCCCACCTTTACTGTCCATGCATCCCTATACGTGAGCACCTCTCCTATCTTAGCACAGGCTGAGAAGCTGAGGCCCACACCTGTGGTTGCAGGCTCATGGGGTCTTGGTTGTGGGTTTGGTGTGGGTGCCTCGCCGGGACGTAGGCCTCGTGCATATGCCAGTGTGACAGGTGGACTTTTTCAAAGACCCCTTTCTCCTCATCACTGTGCCCTGATTACTCTCTAGAAACTCTTTACTCCTTTTATTTCTATTGCACTCTTTTTTTTTGAAGTAGGCTTCTATTTTGTTCTTGGCTTCCTTTTTTCCTCTCTGAGTCCCAAATTATTAGATGTCCTCCAACATTTTATTCATGGACTGTTTTCATCTTAAAATACTGTCAACTCCCCCACATGTTACCTTCTAGCCCAGGGGTGGGCAAACTTTTTGACTTGAGGGCCACAATGGGTTCTTAAACTGGACCAGAGGGCCGGAACAAAAGCATGGATGGAGTGTTTGTGTGAACTAATATAAATTCAAAGTAAACATCATTACATAAAAGGGTACGGTCTTTTTTTTCAATAGTTTTATTCATTTCAAACGGGCCGTAGTTTGCCCACGGCTGTTCTAGACAGATGCTCTCAGAGCCACATCTCCAGCCTGGCGTCCCCCAGGCTTCTGTCCTCCGACCCCAGCCACACGGCTGCTTTCCTCTGGAGCTGGGTTTTTTTTTTTTTTTTTTTTTTGCCATTTCAGCCCAAGCATGTTTAAAGCAAAACCTGACTTTGTATTTCCTCAGGGCATCGTTCCTTCATGACTCACCCCTTCCCCTCAGTGTCACTTCCACTGTTCCGCGTCCCCTGCTGGTTATCACTGGCTCTCTCTCTCCTTTGCCTCTGGTCGGCATCCAGTCCCTCCCGCCTGGTCTGTAGTTCTCTTCCTTCCTACCTTCCTCCCCTCCTTCCCTCCTTCCCACTTTCTTTGCTAAGACTTTGGGCTCCACTCTTGTCATTCCATGCATGTGGAACTGTTGGGCCGTTTTCCCTGGTCCCTTTGTGTCCTGTCTGCTTGAATTTTAGAAATCTGCCTCTTTAGAAATATGTAGGCACGTCTCTACTCTAGAAGCTGGCATTTGGAGTCGTCCACATGCAGGCTGGCCTTCTCTCACTCCCTGTATTCTGACCCGTCTAGAGCAGCTAATGAGATCTCTGCCCAGCCTCAAGGGTTTGCTGGTCCCTGACAATCCAGATCACGCTCTGGGTCCCACCTCTTTACTTCTAAGTTCTGTCTGTCCTCCGAGTCCTGACGCGAGTCCCCATTTCTCTGTGGAATATTGTGCCCGTGTCACTGTCTCTGGAATTGCATAGCACATGGATATGCCACTGTGGCAGTGGGCCGGTGATCGTCTTGGGGTGTCTTTTGTATTATGGTCTAGCTATTTAATCCTTGTGCTCTTTAAGTTTTTGCAAGTAACCATCTTTTCTGCAAACTCAAGGCATAAACAGCCCCTTGTACACATTTGACGTTTCTGAGATGTTGGTGGAATTGTAGGCACGATCTCGCCGGCCCTCACAGGCTCCTTGACGGTCCCCAGCATTCAGATCGACCGACCCGCCTCTTTGTTTTAGCTGCAGATCCCCAGTGTGAAGGGGTTTGATTTTGCCAAGCAGCACCTGGGGCAGCACAATAAGGACGACATCCTGATTATTCATGAGCCTGCTCCGCTGCCAGGGCCTGTGAAGGACCACACCACGCCCTCCGAAAACGGGGACGTCCCGAGCCCCAAGGCCAAGGTCCCCTCCAAGAATGTCCGCCATCGAGGAAGGTTGGTGTCGGGCTTTCTGCATTGTACTCTGTCGTGAAGCATGTTTCCATTTTCAGTTTGTCAGTTTCCAGTATCAGAAGGGCTGACGGAGAGTATTGCCCACGCCTGTAGCCCGGGAGACTGACCCCAGCTTTCCCAAAGTCAGCGAGCCCGAGGGCCGCTCCAATGGACCACCCGAGGGGGCTGTCTGCTCTCTTTCCCCGAAGCATTTAAGATTATGAATCACTGTCCATCCTGGTTTGGCGGTCCCCCTGTGACTTGATTAGGGATTGGCCAGCTCAAGAGTATATATTCTGGGTGAGCAAGCTTGGCCTTCAATAATGATATCAGAAACCATGTCTAAAAGGTGCATAGCACACGATACCCACCCAGTACTGGCTTTGTCCTGGCCCATCATGCCTTCATTGCTCTGTCTGCAGGTGACCTTCCGTTATCACAGCTTTCTATCTTTTTAAAAAAATTATTTATTGATTTCAGAGGAAGGGAGAGAGAGAGGATGATGATGAGAGAAAATCATTGATCAGCTGCCTCCTGCATGCCCCACTCTGGGGATCGAGCCTGTAACCCAGGCATGTACCCTGACCAGGAATTGAACTGTGACCTCCTGGTTCATGGGTTGACGCTCAACCACTGAGCCACACCGGTTGGCACATCTTTCTATCTTTGCTTGATTTTTCTGGCGGCTGATGTCACCATTGTTAGTATGTTTGCATGGACTCTTCACCACCTCCCATCTCCCTGCCCAGCTCCCATCTCTGTTTATTTTCATTCCTCTTATCAGGGTAAAGCACCGCGTGGAGAACTGCTTGATTACACACTCCCTGGAGGTCCCCTCACCCTCTGATGCCCTGAGCAGGGCTACAGCTCTGTTAAAGGAGACCCAGTTCAGAGTCAGGCTTTATTAAGCTGACTTTAGATCATCACAGTCAAGCTTTGGCTACTAAAGCCTTAAAATTATCAGCCTGTCTTTGAGCTTTGATACTTTGGATCCTGATTTTCTGCTAAAAGGAAAAAAGTGGTGTGGGCTCATACCAATATTTGAAATGATGTTATAATTCCTGACATCAGAAAACCTCTCCGGGGGTTCTGGCCTAGTTTTAAGAATTTAATAGATGATCTTTACAAAAGAAACTGCATTAAGGAGAGAGATGGTATTTGCTTAATTATCTTGTAGGTTAAGTACAAGTTAAATCATTAAGGATTATTAATATGCTAGTACAGATTTGCAAAGTCTTTTTTTTTCTTCCCTTGTAGTCTCATCCTAAACATTTAGTCACGACATCTCAGTGGCCTGTGTGGTTAATATAATAATTTAGCATCCCTCACGGGCACCAGAGTGTGTTGGCATTTCACACTGCTGTTTAATCCAGGGAGCACAAAGGGAGGGGTGCCCGCTGGTGGAGTTTTACTAGCCTGGTGCCCCTGGCTTCCATGCTACCCTCGCTCTTTAGTTATGGCATCAGATCTCACTGGGGATGTAACTGTAGGCTTCTTCCAAAGACCTGGAGCTCGGTGGGGTGAGTGCAGACACCCTGGCTTCCTGGAGATTCTGCAGACCCAACGAGCCCTGAGCCAGACCAGACTGCCAGCCAGGGCCCTTGTCACTGAAGGACCACCCCCTAATTGGGCCCCTGATTTCTTGGCCTTTGTTGAAATGCAGCCTGCCGAGCCTTTCCTGCACTGTTACACTATCTTCAGGAGGTAACTAAGTGCAGTCCGTGTCCTTGGAGATGCTGGACCGTGAGATAATTTTTTGGATTGTCTACTAATTTCTGCCAGTCTGGCCTGGAAGCCTGACTTCCACATCCGAATGAGCGTGACCGGCCCCTCCCTTTGCTTTCTGTTTGCTCATGCTTACATTTGTTTGGTGTCTGCAGGGTTTCGCCCTCAGATGCTGACTCTACCGTGAGTGAAGAGTCCAGTGAGAGGGAAGCAGGAGATAAGACGCCGGGCGCGGTGAATGACGGTAAGTTCCACAGAGCCCCCAGAGCGGTCTGTGACTCCTCGCTCTCCACGTTCAGAGCAGTCCTGACGAGGTTCCAATAGCAGGGGTCCTCAAACTACAGCCTGCGGGCCACATGCAAATACAAATATTGTATTTTTTCCCGTTTTGTTTTTTTACTTCAAAATAAGATATGTGCAGTGTGCATAAGAATTTGTTCATAGTTTTTTTTTAAACTATAGTCCGGCCCTCCAACGGTCTGAGGGACAGTGAACTGACCCCCTGTTTAAAAAGTTTGAGGACCTCTGGGCTAGGGTTTTATTCTTTAAATGCTGAACTTAAAAAAATAACCTGTGCAATGTAATATTCGTTATCCGTATGGCGAATGTCTCAGCATCGACGGTCACTAACAGGGTGCTGGTGTCGGCGTTGGGGGTGGGCGGGGGTGGGGTGGGTGGGTGAATGAGTGGGGGCTGGGGGGGGAATGGGGGGGGCGGGCTGGAGGTTAGGAATTCAAGGAGGTATGTTTTGAGGCTCATAGCCATGTTCTGGTCTAGTTTCAAGTCCTAACGATTTTCCCCCCTGAAGGATAAGGAAGACTCGAACTACTACTACCAGAGTCTCAAAAAAGGCCTCCAGGCTGTGACCTTTTCAGCATCCAATTCAAGGATTTCACAGCTGCCGCTGTCAAAAAGTTGTGTATTTGTCATAGGTCCAAGTGCATTCTGTTTGGTCCTAGCTCTTTCTTCTGGTGGATAGTTCAGTGTGATCAGACGGGTTAGCCTATTTGTGTCAGCTGCTGTAGCTTCTTAGGCCAGGTCCGAAATGAATTTCACTCCCGTTCTAAGCAGTAGTACCATGACCCCAATGCCCTGTAAAAAGACGAAGCCCACGGGTCTTACATACGTGGGAGCATTTTCTGGCGTGATGACAAGGTAGCTGGGTTTTAGTTGAATAGATTCTGTTAACCAAAGTGCTAGTGTAGCTCTTGTGTTTTCTGGAGATTATAGATGTTTCAGTAATGCAGAAAGAATTGGGGTGCTCAGGACATGATTTTTAATGTCTATGCTCATATATATATATATATATATATATATATATGTATATATTTTAACATATATTTGTATTGATTTCAGAGAGTAAGGGAGAAGGAGAGAGACAGAAACATTAATGCTGATTGGCTGCCTCCCGCATGCCCCCTACTGGAGATAGAGCCCGCAACCCAGGCATGTGCCCTGACTGGGAATCGAACCATGATCTCCTGGTTCATAGGTCGACGCTCAACCACTGAGTCACGCTGGCCGGGCTATGCTTATATTTTTTATCACAAATTTCTCCCTATGAAAATCATACAAAGTGAATGGTATTGGGGAAATGAACAGATTCTGGATGGAGCCAGAGGGCCTGTCCTGTCACTGTCACCCTTGTGACCTTGCAATAGTCCCTGGGCCTCTGGGCGCCTGTGGGACTAAATGAGCTCGTTTCTGACGTCTCTTCCAGCTCCTTCCAGGTGTTTCATTTCCATGTGAAAGGAATACCCCTTGGACTATAGGGAAGAGGTTTTTCTTTGGATCCAATTTCACAGAATCTTAAAAATGACTTAGCACCATGGTAACAGGTGCACTGTTTCAGACAGAGAGGATTAAAATCTAATTTTGATCCTGGGAAAGAAATATTTGGAAAGGAGAATCAGCTCTGGAGAGTTCCTCAATTCCTTAGGTTACCTGAGAAAATCTTCCCCAGTTTAACTGCTCACGGATAAGATTACCGCAAATCTATTCTATACGGCTAACAAAAGTCAAGCATTGCTCTCAACATGTATTCAAAATCCCAGTAGCAGCCATGTCAGCTTTGGGACTGAGAGGTGGCGGTGGGAGGAGACGAGTGGATTAGATGTTCTGAGTATTAGGAGCTCAGATGCCACACTATTTTGATTTGGAGACATCGTACATGGAAATCCGTACATTTCCATGACTTAGAAAGACGGTTTTCTCACTGCCAGCATCACTTCATTTTTAAAACTGTTTACTTCCGTAAAGCTAAAATGCTGCCATACAGGCATTTTATTGCTTGCATAGAACTTAGCTAAATCCCCTATAAAATGATTCTGAGTTTATCATCATAGCATTTGAATTATTTTGTAATGCACATAAAAATCCTTTTTTTGTTGCAAGTCACAATAAAATACAGATTAATGGAGTCAGGCGGTTGCTTGAGCCCGTCTGGGACCCTCGGGCATGTTGCTCCGGGACCAGCGTCCCCTCTCACCATGGGGGGGAGGGGGTAGGGGGGGAAGGGCTTCCGATGGCTGTCACAGGTCATCTGGCAACTTCAGGACCTGCCTTGCTTTGGAAGCACAGAAAAGGCTGTTGTTTCAGTTTTGGTCCAGGATAGTAACATGGGTCACAGGCATTAATAATAAGGCAGTGGGCCCTAGCCAGTTTGCCTCAGTGGATAGAGTGTTGGCATGAGGACTGAAGGATCATGGGTTCGATTCTAGTCAAGAGTGTATGCCTGGGTTGTGGCCTCGATCCCCAGTGTAGGGTGTGCAGGAGGCAGCCAATTAGTGATTCTCTCTTATCATTGATCTTTCTATCTCTTTCTCCCTCTCCCTTCCTCTCTGAAATCAATAAAAATAAATTTAAAAAAACAATAATAAGGCAGTGGGATTGTATTTGCCTATAGATGATGAAATAATATTCTTTAAAAATGGCCTATTGCTCTTGCATTCCAGTATTCAAATTTCCTGCTCCTCTGTTGTTCTCCTTTGTAATTTTTATCATTATATTGTTGTTTTTATTATATTTAAAGAGAAAGGGGTTTTAATCCAAACTCCCTACTTGCCTTAATACAGGATTCACATAGCATTAATCTCTGTGTAGGTATTGTGTTTTCTTTTTAATATATTTTTATTGATTTAAGAGAGGAAGGTGGAGGGAGAAAGAGATGGAAACATCAGTAGTGAGAGAGAATCATTGATCAGCTGCCTCCTGCATGCCCCCTACTGGGGATCAAGCCTGCAACCTGGGCACGTGCCCTAGACTGGAATGGAACCCCAGACCTTTTATTTTTATTTTTTAAAATATATTTTATTGATTTTTTACAGAGAGGAAGGGAGAGGGATAGAGAGTTAGAAACATGGATGAGAGAGAAACATCGACCAGCTGCCTCCTGCACACCCCCTACTGGGGATGTGCCCGCAACCAAGGCACATGCCCTTGACCGGAATCGAACCTGGGACCCCTCAGTCCGCAGGCCGACGCTCTATCCACTGAGCCAAACCGGTTAGGGCATGAAATGGAACCCCAGACCTTTTAGTCCGCAGGCTGATGCTCTGTCCACTGAGCCAAACCAGCTAGGATTATGCATTGTGTTTTCCATTGGCCATTATTATACAGGTAGTTTGTTTTTTTTAAATGTGCAATGCATAATAGCAAATAATAAAAATACATAAATACATATTATATATCGGAAACTGGGCTTTGTGTTTATACATGTATACATACATCATATATATGACAAATATACTTATACGATGTCTATTATATGTATATGATAAATAAAAAGACCCCTCTTTTCAACCCTTTAGAAGGGCTGGGCTGTGGGCAGTGTATAAACTTGAGGGTTTTCTGTGCATCCTCTCCTTCTCTGGTTGCAGTTGGTGAATTATAGAGCGAGGATCCGTGACCACAGTGCGGGGGTGGGATGGGCGTGGACAGGAGCCAGTCGCAGGCCTGAGCTCCATGACACAAGCAAACAGACAGCACGGGGGGGTGGGGCCTTTCCTCCTCTGCTCCACCCCCCACCCCACCCCATTGCCTTCCAGCCATTTGGAGCTCTCTGTACCCTGGCCTTTTGACCATCCTGGAGGAAAGGGACCTCACCTTTAGGTGTCAGGTGGTTAATGGACTATCTTTTGTGACATTTGCTGTCACTTTATAAGATTGGGTTAGCAAGGCCAGCCTATCTGGTGAAGCTAATGATCTCCTCTTGGGCCCTGTGCCTGCAATTTGAGAAGCTGCCACCAGACGAGTGATGGTGCCTGGCCACTTGCATTGCACAGTCAGGGGAAGAAAGCCAGAATCCCGACAGCCAGGCCTCCTCACTACGAGACGGTGTTCATTCACAGTTATGTACATCATTTCCAATTCCTTGGGGCAACAGATGAATAGACTTCAAATCGAGAGGAAATATAGAACTTACATAACATCGATGTGCATTCCTTATACCAAATATCAACTGTTATTTCTTACTGCTTTGCTTGGCTATGTTTTTACTGCTTTGTTTTTACCTTGAGGAGAAACCTCCATAATTTTCAGTTATGCTTGAGGCTTCAAACCTCAGGCTTTTGTTTGAAAACAGTTTCTGCATGCTCGCATGGCCTGTGATCCATTTAACTTAAAACAGCGTCCAGAGCGACCGGAGGGAACTGTGGTTGGTCAGACAGAGTCTTCGTGTGTCTAAATAGCTCCATGGAGGTCTTCCATCTATGCAGCCCCTCTTCATCTCTCTCCATCTCTATGTTTTTGCCTTCTTAAAATTAAAGTTCATAAAGTAATACTCAGACAAAATCATTATTACAGAAAATATAAGAAATTGGAGAAAATCACCCATTATACCAAGATTTAGTCTGTTAATATTTTTAATTGTTTCTTCTTTCTACATATTTAAATTTTTTCTTTTTTGCAGTTCTGATTACTTTCAAAAAATTAAAAAAGTTGTGGTAAATATACACATGCCATACATTTACTCTTTTCATCATTAAAAATTAACTTCTTTAAAAAGTTTCCTCGCCTGGCTGGTGTGGCTCAGTGGATATAGTGTCATCCCATGGACCGAGAGGTCCCTGGTTTGATTCCTGGTCAGATGCTTGGGTTGCTGGCTCTATCCCCAGTAGGGGGCGTGCAGGAGGCAGCCAATCAATGTGTCTCTCTCGCTGATGTTTCTATCTTTCCCTCTCCCTTTCTCTCTATCTAAAAATCAATAAGAACATATATTTTTTAAAAAAGTTTCCCCTCTCAGCCTAAGTGCCCATCAGCAGATGAGTGGATTAGAAAACTGTGGTACATCTACACAATGGAATACTATGCTGTAGTAAAAAAAAAGGAACTCTTGCCTTTTGCAACAGCGTGGATGGAAATGGAGAGCATTATGCTAAGTGAAATAAGCCAGTCAGAGAAAGATAAATACCACATGATCTCACTCATTTGTGGATTATAGAGAACAACATAGACTGATGAAAAGGGACAGATCCAAAGACTGAGAAACAGCGATCAGGCTATCAATCCCCAGAAGGAAAGTAGGGGAGGGCGGGGGTAAGGGGAAGAGAGCAACCGAAGGACTTGTATACATGTATATAAGCCAAACCAATGGACATGGACAACAGGGGGATGGGAGCATGAGTGTGCAGGGCGGGGGGGGTGAGGTTGGGGGTTAATGGGGGGGATGAGGACACATTTGTAATACCTTAACTAATAATAATAATAAAAAAAAAAAAAAAAAGCAAAAAGAAAAGTTCCCCCTCTTTTAACTATTTTAGTATACTCTTCATCTCTTTGTAAAGTGGGAATGGCTTCCCTACAGGCAGCTGCTTTTTCCTCTCATACCTCTTCAACTTAATTTTCTTTCTGCATCTGATCAGAAACCTGGACGTGTTCACTGTTCAGTTGTTCATCAGCACCTGCCTGCATGCCCACAGTCCCCTCGTCTTGAGCATAATTGCCTTGGCAACTAATCTATGTCATCGCAAATGAGAGTGAAGTTCAGAGCTGCTATGCGTTGTACAAATGACAATCGACTGAGCCGCTCAGGTCCCTTCCGCCCTTTACCCTTTCTGATTGAAGACTTTGAAATCCCTTTAGACAAAACTGGGCAATTTTTGGCACAAAGTGTCATAATGGTTTTCACATCTTTCTGCTGACATTTGTAACTTTCAGTGAGGCCGACGGAGCCGATATTGAACCCAGATACTGTAAGCTCAAACAGGGCCATTTGAAGTCCTCTGCCACATAGCAGTGATGTGCTTTTGGTCAGGGGCCCATCTGTGGATTCTTTAAGGATTAACCCATAATTTTGATTATTTGCTGTTTTTTTTAGGACTTTATATATTTATTTTCTGGCTTCCCCTCCTGTTGCAGGGCCGCCCCCCCCCAGTTCAGGGAACGAGCAGCCCTCTTCTGCCTCCATCTTCGAGCACGTGGACAGGCTCTCCCGCTCCTCCGAGGCCAGCCGGCGGGGCCCCAGTAAGATCCAGCTGATCGCCATGCAGCCCATCCCCGCACCTCCTGTCCACCACCTGGCCGACCGAGTGGCAGAAACCAACAAAATTAACAAAGAGGTATTTGTTTGTATTAAAAGGGACATACATACAAAAGCTCACATGCTGATTTGGTTAGTGCTTAAAACTGAGTGAAAGTTAGTGTCAGAAGTTTGCTAAAGGTATGAGATGCTGACAGGTATTCTTAATTTTAAAACTAACCTCAGTTTGCCCTGGCTGATGTTGCTCAATAGTTAGAGCACCAGCCCGGGCACCCAAGGGTTTTGAGTTTGATTCCTGGTCAAGGGCACCACCTGAGTTGCAGGTTTGATCCCTGGTCTCTGGTTGGCCTCGCGCAGGAGGTAACCTATCGATGTCTCTCTCTCCCATCAATGTTTCTATGTTTCCCTCCCTCCCTCCCTCCCTCCCTCCCTCCCTCCCTCCCTCCCTCCCTCCCTCCCTTCCTTCCTTCCTTCCATCTCTCTAAAAATCAATGGAAAAATATCCTTGGGTGAGGATTCACCAAAAAATATTATACTCAGTATTTTTAGATCAGATACTGTTCAGGGACACAGTTAGATGCATTGGCAGACGTACAGAAAAGAGACCTGAGCCTGCTATCCGTAGAAGTCCTGCTTCACCCTGTGGCTGGTTGTGGGAACTTGAATTTCTAAAAGATTTCCATCATTTGCAGAACAGAGTTGGCTCACTGTGCCTAAGCTGTGCAAACAATATGATTTGTGCTGAATATCTGCTTTCTTTCTGAGAGTTTGGAATTTTGGGACATGCCAGGCGGTGTGGGGCGGGGGGTGGTGGGAGGGTGCCTGTGTGACCAGCCCCCATTAAAAACCCTGGGTATTGAGTCTCTGACGAGCATCCCTGGTGGGCATTTCACATGTATTGTCACAGCTCCCGGCTGGAGGGCTGAAGCACATCCTGTGTGACCCCAGTGGGAGAGGACTCTTGGAAGATGGTGACTGGTCCCTCCAGCAGGCCCATTGCTGATTTTGCTTTGTGTCCTTTTGCTGTAATAACTGGGGCTCACGGCTGAGTCCTGTGAATTCTCCTAATGAGAATGGAACCTGGGTGGTCTTGGAACCATAGTAAACTCTGTGATTCCTCACAGATCTCCTCCGGCTCCAAGGCTCTGGCTCAGCAGTTCTCAGCCTGTGGGTCCTGACCGCTTTGGGGGTCGAACGACCCTTCCACAGGGGTCGCCTAAGACCATCAGAAAACACATATATAATTACATGTTGTTTTTGTGATTAATCACTATGCTTTAATTATGTTCAATTTGTAACAATGAAAATACATCCTGCATATCAGATATTTACATGATGATTCATAACAGTAGCAAAATTACAGTTATGAAGTAGCAATGAAAATAATTTTATGGTTGGGGGTCACCACAACATGAGGAACTGTATTAAAGGGTCGCGGCATTAGGAAGGTTGAGAACCACTGCTCTAGGTCATTCCTAGCAAAACCCTATTCCAGTGAATCCTGGAAGAGTGAGTTGGATGTGCTTCAATCTAAGATGTTGGGTGGGAACCAGAGGCCAGGCCAGGCCACTGTTACCTTGAACTTGAGAGATTTGACCTGGGCTGGACAATGAGTGGAGTGAATGCCATTTGGGAAGGCGCACAAGGCAGCTTCATGCCAGTCGGTCTCCTGCCGCTAAGGAACTCCTGCAGCTGTCCGAGTTCTGAGAAATTGGTACAGTTGAGCCCTCATCTCCACTTTAAAGGTGATCCGTACAGTGGATCGTCTTGTAGAAGTCTTGCAAGAGTTCTTAGAGTTTCTCCCAGCCGCACCGCTTTGGCTGCTTGCCAAGGACGTGGCCACAGAATGTGCGCCGTGGGTTCAGGATGGTGAGTGCTGTCCCTGCTCACCAGTGCTCAGGAGCCCTAGCCCTGTGCAGCCCAGTCCCAGCCTAGACCCGTCTCCATCAGTCACATGTTGCGTGTGCTTCCGTACCTGCCGTGTGTAAACACCTGGAGTGGGTTCTCCATCTCGTGAAAGAGAGAAGAGACGTGCTCCCTGGCCTGTGGCCTCACAACTTGATAGCATGCATCTCCAACCTTTCTTCTACTTCTTTTTCAAATGTAGTAGTTGATGCATACGTATGACTATCGATAATATAGATTGATCATAAACCATAATGAAATCAAAACCCAACCTAAGAACTAGAACATTATCAGTACTGCTGTACTGACCTATACCCTTCATACATTGTAATTGAAATGGTTTCTTACTGGGAGGTTCTAGCGGTTGCCTCTTGCACACACCCTGACCAGGGATGGAACCCACAACCCTTTTGGTGTATGGGGATGATGCTCCAACCAGCTGAGCCACCTGGCCGGGGCTAAGAGGGGCTTTCTTAATTCTCCTGCTGGTAAGTTTCCGAGAACCTCATGCAGCGGCCTGTCCTTCTCAAACTGTCTCAAAGAAGTAGGTGGCCTTTGGTCGACTACGGCGCAGCCAGGAAGGTTCCGTTTTGTCTTGGCCTGCGTCCTGCTCTCTCCTCCCAGATTCTCAGCAAGCCTGTCCTGATCTGCACAGTGAGGTCGCCTCATTGCCACCCAGCATTCATCTGCATTCCTGCTTCTGGCCCTCCGTGTGGTGCCTGCATCTCACACCTGCTTCCCATACCCTTCCCCTCTTCAGATCCTCCACGCCCCTCAGAACCTAGCTCAGGCCCACAGAGCCGGCCATGACATGTTCCCTGCAGGTGGAGCCTCTCTTTCGGGAGGAGGGGTCTTATGTCAGAGGGCTTGTTTTGGTGACACTAGCTCATTATCAGTAAATGGGGAGTCTGTTGTATAATGCAAATAATCTTTGAATCTGTCCTAATTTAAAAGCCTCTAAGGTAGTGATTATTGGGTATGGAAAGCACTTATTCTTTCTCTCAGGGCGTACTGTATCTAGTTGTCAGTGTCCTTGGTATTGGCGAAGTGCCATGGCCGATCTTCCAGATTTGAGTTGCCTTTGCCAGCTTTGGGGGCTGATACCACGTCTCTCCCCTCACCCACTGGGCGAGTTTGGGGTTATGGCCTGTGGGCCATGGCAGGTCCCCTATGCCCAGTGTGGGTGTGCTCGCTCGTCTCACACCCTTTGGGGCCTCCTTGGAGCCTAGGACAGCCGTGCAGGGGGTAGAGAAGGTAGCAGAAAGCCCTTTCCAAAATGCTTTCTGGGCCTGGGTCCCAGAGACCTTGAAGCACATTGCTTTTGTCTGGTTCCCCCCATCCCACCCCCTCAGATTCAGACGGCGCTGCGGCACAAGTCGGAGATCGAGCACCATCGGAACAAGATCCGGCTCCGTGCCAAGCGCCGTGGCCACTACGAGTTCCCGGTGGTGGATGACCTGTCGTCGGGGGACACGCGGGAGCGACACCGGGTGTACCGCAGGGCGCAGATGCAGATCGACAAGATCCTGGACCCCACGGCCAGCGTGCCTTCGGTGTTCATAGAGCCCAGGAAGAGGTGGGGTCCCAGGGCAAGCCGGGCTGCCTCTGCTGTCAGGGCTGCGGTCGGAGGGCCTGTCCATTTTTAAGGGAAAAGTATCTGAAAATGGGTCAAAGAGGTTTATACACAGAAAGGCTGTGCAGGCTACGGGGGTGGCTTTGATCCTGCGTGGGTGGCCACCCACGTGCAGAAAGGCTGCTTTCATTCTGCCTGGACCTCCCTGGCCTCGGAAAGCTTCCCTGGTTAATGTCTCCTCGAAGTCAGTGTTCTGAATGGTGGTCACCCCCCCCTCCCAGACCCACCGCCCCAGCTTCCTGGGCCTGCACTTCCCCTCAGTCTGCTCCCCTCCAGCATCCTCACCTCCTAGCTCAGTGATGGAGAACCTTTTGAGCTCGGCGTGTCAGCATTTTGAAAAACCCTAACTTAACTCTGGTGCCGTGTCACATACAGAAATTTTTTGATACTTGCAACCATAGTAAAACAAAGACTTACATTTTTGATATTTATTTGATATATTTAAATGCCATTTAACAAAGAAAAATCAACCAAATAAATGAGTTCGCGTGTCTCCTCTGACACGCGTGTCATAGGTTCGCCATCACTGTTCTAGGTGGTCACGGGTCAGCACAGGCGGATGTCTCATTTCTTGTCCCACAGCCACCCTCTGAGTTTTGGTGCTTACCTTCCCCTTTGCCTCTCAGACTCCTGCCCCCTAACACAGATGCAATGTCTTTTTTTTTTTTAAAGATTTTTAGAGAGAGAAGAAGGGAGAGGGAGAGAAAGAAATATTGATGTGGGAGGGAAACATCAATCAGCTGCCTCCTCCACACCCCCTACCAGGGATCGAGCTCCCAAGCCGGGCATGTGCCCTGACTGGGAATCAAGCCGGCAACCTTTCGGTGCCTCTCAACCAACTGAGCCACACTGGCCAGAGCAACACGGATGCATTTTCTTAAGCACTGCTCTCGGTGACGCCTTTCTTTGCTAAAAACCTGTGATGGTTCCCTGTGCTGCCTGTGTGCACGTAACAGGCGGGGCCACCTGTCCTCGCACAGCAGCCTAGACAGACCTGCCACTCCGTTAGCTGGTGGCCCCGTCGCCCCCAAACCTTCATCTGCGTTTCCACTTCTGGCCCTCGGTGTGGTCGTCCCCACACCCCCCACCTTCTTCCCACATCACTCCCCATCTGCAGACCCCACTTGCTCTTCAGGACGCAGCTCAGGCCCCACGTAGCCAGTGATGACCCACGTAGCCAGCTCAGGCCCCAGTAGCTCACATTGACCGCCCCTTTCCTGCGTGTCCGTGTAACTAACATGAGTACGTACTAGTGTTGCCTCGGATTGCTCTCTGGCTCCTTGTGTTGCTGTGGTCTGCCCAGGTAGACAGTGAGCTTCCTTGGAGCCGAGACTGTCTCCTACAGTGTTTCTATCCTGTGGGTGTTTGCTGCCGTGACCAGCAGTCAGAGGTGCTCAGGAGCTGCTTAGCGTTGAGTTGCGAAGCCAGCGGCAGGAAGGGTTCTTCCCTCTGAAATAACCTCCCTTTTCCCAGCAGCTCGCGGCTGAAACGTTCTCCCAAGGCCCGCCGGAAGCACCAGGTCAACGGCTGCCCCGGAGACGCCGAGAAGGACAGGCTCATCACCACAGACAGCGACGGCACTTACAAGAGGCCTCCCGGCGTCCACAACTCCGCCTACATGGGTTGCCCAGTGCGTAATGCTGACCCTCCCTTCTGGAATCAGTGTTGGGGTGGCTCCTTGGGTGGAGAACGAGCAGGATCGGGGGTGGGGGTGGGGTGGGGGGGCTGCGCTCTGTGCGGGGTTGATGCCGGGTGGCTGCCGCTCCGGGGCGGCTGGGTTGGAGGCAGGTGGGGAAGGGAGGGAGGGGACTGCGCGTTGGAGGGCAGCCTTCAGTCCTGTAAACTGGGGGCTGCTGGCTGAGCCCTCGGGAGACACCACGTTTTTCCTTTCTGTGCGCGAGCCCTTTCCTCGTGGGCTTCAGCCTGGGCACTCCCCGAGCTTGAGTGGGACACAAAGAAGAATATCCAGAAGGTTGTTTTTTTATCCCCTGGGCTCTATGGGTTTCTTGTTGATAGAAAGGATATTTAGGGCTTTGTCCCTCCCTTCTGTTTCTAGAGTGCTAAGAAGATATATTTGCTCATTATCTATATACATAATATGTACATATATGTAATACATATATATATAATTTTAATATATATAATTTATCATATACATATAATTTATCATATATATCATTTAATATATATAATTTATCATATATATATAATTTATCATATATATTATGCAAAGTGTCCCCTCAGGAATTCAACCAACTGGGAGTTCGATCACTCGTTATGACCTGTGCTGACCACCAGGGGGCGGTGCAGAATGAAGGAAGGCCCCAGCTGGCAGCTGGCAGCCAGGGAAGGGAGGCCCCAGCCAGCAGCCAGCCGCCAATAGGGACCCTACCTGTGCACAAATTTTGTGCACTGGTCCTCTAGTATATATATATAATTTTATTTTATTTTATTTTATTTTATTTTATTTAGTATATATATATAATTTTAATGGGAGAAAGCACTTACTGGAAGCTAAGAAATATGGGTTTAAACCAGCGGTTCTCAACCTGTGGGTCGCGACCCTTTTGGTGGTTGAACGACCCTTTCACAGGGGTCACCTAAGACCATCCTGCATATCAGATATTTACATTACGATTCATAACAGTAGCAACATTACAGTTATGAAGTAGCAACGAAAATAATTTTATGGTTGGGTCACAACATGAGGAACTGTATTTAAAGGGCCATAAGGTTGAGAACCATTAAACATTTCTTTGAAGCAGAAAGGGCACAGAGTTGCTTGAAGTGTAAAAGGCAGACATGGGTAGCATTAAGACACACACACAGACCCCATTGAGTAGGAAGAGAGGGCCAGCCTCCGCAAGGAGCTACGGGAAATACAGAACAAAGGCACCCAGGACAGGGAGCGCTTGGTGAGACGCCTGCAGCCTCACGCCAGGTGTAGCCCTATCTTGTTGCACCAGCCCCTCTCCCCCCGGAGGCTAGCGTACACAGCCATCCTTGTGAGGAGGGAAATTAGTAGTAAGCACATCCTTGGAGAAGGGGGTACATGATCCCTTTACATAGGGCTGATGCAGCCAGCCATGTATTTGAGTTTTATATTTTGTCTCCTAAATTACACTAAAAACTAACACTGCCAGGCACTAAATATAATTATATAAACGTGCCAGGCACCATGCCGACCCTGGGGCCACCTGTAATGGAATCGTGGCCATCTGAGAGAGCCAGGCTTTCCTTGGGAGTTTATGTATCTCTAGTCCCTCAAGACAGACCGGACCGTGTCCCTCATCCCTGCTGCTGAGGGCTGGAGTGGCTCCAGGGAGTTGGCAGGTCAGCAAATTAGAATGCTTTGCTCTCAGTAGACGGAATGGAGTCAGTCCTCTCTGCGTGCAGTGAATGAGTTGCCTTGGCCGGGGAACGTCGCTCACGGGTCTTAAAATAGGTGGCGTTCTTGTGCTGCTGCTGTTGGACAGGCGGTTGTCTGGGCATCTCTGCTGTTTGGTTTGGTCCTGGGGAGGGCAGTCCCCTTGGCTCCCTGGAGAGTCATGCGATGACACTAACAGAGGAGGAACTTGCTTCTCCCCCCTCCACTTCCCTAACCAGGGCGCTGGTCCTCTCAGGGGAACTTGCAGGGGAGCCTTCAGGCCTCATGGGAGTGCCCTCACCCAATGCCGCCGCGTTTGGTGTGGGGAATGACTGTCTTCCCTTGCTCTCTCCATCTTGCCTTCGGCGTCCGTGACCTTTTTCTCCTTGCTTTTTTGGCGTGTGTGTGTGTGTGTGTGTGTGTGTGTGTGTGTGTGTGTTTAATTTTTTACTTTTAGCAGAAAGTGCCCTTCCTTGGAAAGCCACTTCAGTCAGCTGCTCTTCTCCAATGGCTGTTTTTCAAATTCCCTGAAATGAAAATCTTCCTCAGATGGACTTCCTTCCTACTCTCTCCCTAAAAATTCTGAAACACATATTTTCAAAGACAACGCCTTTCCTGGAACTCGCCTTCTCTTGACATACGTGTCTTTTAATTATTTTGATTTTTACACTTTTCCCCTCAAAATATCTCCTAAAGTGAAAAATATATTCCTGGATTCCTTATAACTAAGGTTATGTTTATAATCAGGACTAGGCAAACTATGGCTCTCAGGCCAAATCCAGCCAGCTGCCTGTTTTTGTGAATAAAGTTTTATTGCAGTGGTTCTCAACCTTCCTAATGCTGCAACCCTTTAATACAGTTCCTCATGTTGTGGTGACCCCCAACCATAAAATTATTTTCGTTGCTACTTCATAACTGTAATTTTGATACTGTTATGAATCGTAATGTAAATATCTAATATGCAGGATGTATTTTCATTGTTACAAATTGAACATAATTAAAGCATAGTGATTAATCACAAAAACAATATGAATTATATATGTGTTTTCCAATGGTCTTAGGCGACCCGTGTGAAAAGGTCGTTCGACCCCCAAAGGGGTCGCGACCCACAGGTTGAGAACCACTGTTTTATTGGAACATAGCCATGCCCATTCATTTGCATGTTATCTGTGGCTCTTGCTACAAGGGCAGAGTCCAGTTAGGTGCAGCAGAAACTGTATGATGCACAAAGCCTAAAATACTTAGTGTCTGGCCCTTTGCAGAGAAAGTTTGTCAACTCCTGATATAATTTATCATTCAAACCGGACACTTGTGAGAGAGAAAGGAACACTATTAATTATTATACTGGGGCAACAGGCATGAACCGAGATTGTCCTGGGTCAACCAGAGTGTATGATCCCTTTCAGAAAACCCACAGAGGATTGCAAAATAGGCACCAGAATACATGGTTTATGGTGATTAAAGGTAAAAAGGTCCATATATTTTTCTGAAGAATGAATGATGAACAAACAGTGTGACCGAATGATCAGACTGCGATTCAGGAGGATGGAATTCAAATTCCAACTCGGGGGTCTTGGAGAAGTATACTTTTATAGATGATGGTTTTGCATTTTTTATTGAGTACCGTCTATCGGTGAAGCACTGCTCGATGTTGAGATCTAGAACATGAAGACGCCCTGTCTTGGCTTGCAAGTTCTGCTGGGCTAGCCATGAAATGACGAGGCAACAGGAAGAAATCCAGGAGGCTCTGACCTCCTGGCTGTGTGGCTCTGGGCCTTCTTAGCGGGATTCCTAGCGCCAGTGGGGATCCGAGGGAACCTTCTGCCGGGGTCCAACCCCAGCAGGTCCAGGGGTCCCCAAAGGTGTGGACGGAGTCGGCGAAGAAGAGATGACATGGAGACAGCGTTCAGTTGATCAGCAGCCTAGCCAGGATCTCCAGCCAAGTTCTGGTCTGGATCTCCAGAGAGGTTCTGCTTTGGATCTCCAGCCAGGTTCTGTGTCCATGTTCTCCAGCTAGGTTCAGTTACCAGGTTCTAGTCAGGTTCTCTTGCCAATTTCTGTAGTCAGGTTCAGTCCAGGATCTTTTGCCATGTTCTCTCGCTAGGTTCTGTCTCTAGGTTCTGAGGCCAGTTTCTGTCCAGGATCTTTTGCCATGTTCTCTCCAGCGAAGTTCTTCTGTCTGTAGAGAACGTTCTGCGTAGGTTCTGTGCCTAGGTTCTGTCTCTCAGTTCTGTGTTCTAAGTTCTGACTCTTGCTGTCTTGTTACAACTGTATTTATACCAGTTGATTCAATCCTATCAATCTCTATTACAAAGGTTAGGGCGTTTCTTATCTCCATTCCAGGGAGTAAAGATTATGTAGCTTAAGCATGATTGTTCATAGTTAAAGTGATTAATTACCCACCTGGCACTTAGTTGAGGGGTTTTATTCCCTCCCTAACTTCAGGGGAAAATCCCTACCTGGGGAAACAGCCTTTCTCAGAGACCTTGGTTAAAACACATAGTGCCAAGAAGGTGAGCAAACATATTAAGAACAGTATGCCATATATGCCAGGTCCCTTGAAACAGCAAGCATGGACCGGCTCCCGGCAACCTTCCCTCCCACATTCAGAACATCTCTCTCTCGCAATAAGTTTTAAAGCTTCTCTGAAATTATGATCACTAATGGTGAGATTGGCAGTGGCTATAGCCGTGGACTCCCCTCAAGGGCATATAAGGTTTTCCCCCAGTGCAGTCTCAGTCTGGGCTTGTGGCTGTGTAGGTGGCCACCCCGCTTGCTTCCTTGTGATACAGCACCCGTGTCAGTGACTGGAACCACCACCAGGAACATCCCCTGTGTCTTTAGAGAGACCCTCTTACTTACCAGTAGGACGTGTTTCCAGACACGCGTTTCCATTTCTCCACCAGGAGCCGTTACTTGGTGGCACACTACTGACCACAGGCTTTCCTGTCTGCGCCTCAGGACAAACTAGTAGCCCTAGCCGGTTTGGCTCAGTGGATGGAGTGGTGTCCTGGGGACTGAAGGGTCCCAGGTTCGATTCCCATCAAGGGCACGTACCTCGGTTGCAGGCTTGATCCCCGGCCCTGGTCAGGTCACGTGTGGGAGGCAACCAATCAATGCGTGTCTCTATCTTTCCCCCTTCCCTTCCACTCTCTCTAAAAAATCAATGGAAAAATATCCTCAGGTGAGGATTAACAACAACAACAACAAAAGAAAAACCAACAGTGGGGGAAGGGCTTGCATATGGACCTTTCGCTCACCTCCAAAGAAAGGAATACAGTTTATTCAATGCCACGTCATACACTAGAGACCCCCTTTGGGGCCCAGAATCCTTACTTGGCATTCCTTGATGACACATGTCCATTAGTGGGACCTTTACTGGGTCATTGCAGTATTAGAGAAACAGACCTACAGGGCCACCTGCCCCATCTGGGGAGGGCACTCAGAGCCTCATTCTGCCAAGAGAATCCAGAAATCAGGTTTAATAGGAAATTTTCAGATTTATGAAATAGTGGTTAAGTATGTTTTTAAAACCTCCATTTGGCTCACCCTTTATATGACTATGACCACACTAATGCAGGTCTGTGGGCTGTTTGTGGGTTTGCCAGTTTGTGGCCTCGTTTTCTCTCTCGAGTTAAGCAGCAGCTTCCCTGAAGTGTCTGACGCTGGTGTCAGTACTACCCGATCATCCGTTGGCTAAGCCATCATCATTAGGAAGCATTTTCCAGACAGGTGGCTAAGAATAAGGATGTGTCTATGGAATAAGTTTCTTTTTGTGAGTGACTTGCCGATCCAAATAGATACACACATGTCTTCCTCGGCCCTTCAGTAGGGTGACCCAGCCAGCTGAGCGAAACCGAGGGCCAGCACGGTGAGCAAAGCCTTCTGGGTAGAAGGCGTCCACGCGCCCTCACGGAGGGCATGGTCACCAGCCCGTCCTGCGGACCCTCTTCTTTCTTCAGGGTCAGTTGGATTGACTGTGCTGTATGGGCGTCCAGAGCCACTGGGACCTGAAGGGCCTCTTTCTCCATTGGATCCCTGCTTTGTCTCTTACAGGTCATCTAAGTGTTTATGACAACATTTTGCTCATAAGGCAGTATCAGAAAGTAAGATGTAAAAAACACACAATTGTGACTTATACCCCCGCCTCGTAGACAAGAGAATTTAAAACTTTTTTTTTTTGGTTAATCCTCATCTGAGGATATTTTTCCCATTGAGTTTTAGAGAGAATGGAAAGGAGGGAGGAAGGGAAGGGGGAGAGGAAGAGAGAGAGACACATAGATTGGTTGCCTTCTACAGGTACCCCAACCAGGGCCGGGGATCGAACCTGCAGCCCAGGTGCATTACATGTCCTTGACTGGGAATTGAGACTCTTCAGTGCTTGTGCTGACGCTCTAACCACTGAGCACACCAGCCAGAGCTAATTTAAACCTTTCTTGATGACTTATGTTATCCAGCGATACCTCCATTTTTAAAATTTTTATTGATTTCAGAGAGGGAGGGAGAGAAAGAGAGAGAGAGAGAGAGAGAAACATCAATGATGAGAGAGAATCACTGTTCAGCTGCCTCCTGCATGCCCTCCATTGGGGACTGAGCCCACAACCTGGGCATGTGCCCTTAACTGGACTCAAACCTGGGACCCTTCAGTCTGTAGGCCAACGCTCTATCCCCTGAGCCAAACTGGCTAGGGTGATACCTCCATTTTAAAGACAGTTTCTGAATAAATAATTACTATTTACTGTTGAAACCATTGTCATAATAGGTATGAAAATTATTTATACACACGGTTATATTATGGTGATGACTTTTAACTCTTTTGGGGGTGTGTAGGGCTGTTTTTTCTATTGCTAATAGTCAGTAGACCGCTTTAGTTTTTGGTTTCTATCTCTTTGGAAAGTTGACCAGCTATTTCAGTAAGTCGATTGAGACATCGATTTTGGTTACTTAGAGGCTTTCAATAAAAGTGTATGCTTCCAGGTGCTGAAACGCATTTCAGACAGTTGCAGGAGTTTTGCCGAACAAATGATTATTGAATATTTTCATTTTCTTCCTTAATTCCTGATGCAAACTCTTTGCACCCATAAGAGCTAGCACACTTTCCTTGGCTGTCATCTTAACAGTTCTTATGGGAAACCGTTTCCTCATGTCAGTGAAGACTGTTCACTTCCATTTTGGCCCTCGATAGGGTTTTGTTTTCAGGTCACCACTGAGGCTTTTGTCTGACTCTTTCTCCTTTGCTGTGTCCCCGCTGTAGTCCGACCCCGACCTCCCAGCAGACGTACAGACGCCGTCTTCTGCTGAGCTGGGCCGGTACCCAGGCCTGCCCTTCTCGGCCCCGCAGTACATCCCGCCCCAGCCGTCCATTGAGGAGGCCCGCCAGACCATGCACTCCCTCCTGGACGACGCTTTTGCCCTCGTGGCCCCCAGCAGCCAGCCCGCCAACGCTGCTGCAGGCCCCGGGGTCCCAGCTGGCCTGCCCGTGAACAGCACCCCTTCCCGGGAAGATAGACGAGCCGCCCAATGGGGCTCCTTCTACAGCCCAGCTCAGATGGCCAACAACCCATGCAGCGTAAGTATGGACCTTGTAGAATTCTCCAGTCTGGAGCTCTGTAGATTCTTCCTCTCAAATTCCTTCCACTGCACTAGACACCAGTTGGAGCCACCGTCATCTCTCACCACGATCATTGCAAGAACTTCCCAGTTGTCTCCTGGCCTCTGGTCTTGAGTGGAGGATGCCGGGGTGGTGGCTGACAAGTACATACTGTTTATTGGTGTTGGTCAGGCCAGCGAGCCGAGAGGCTAACGCAGGATGGATCCTCTGGGCGTCAGGAGGTCTTGGAATGAAGAGGAAGACCTATCAGGAGCCTCTTAACTTAGTCTTGAGTTCTCACTTTCTTTTTCTTATTAATTTTTTTCAATTACAGTTTACATTCAATATTATTTTGTAATAGTTTCAGTTGTACAGCATAGTGTTAGACAATCAAATACTTTACAGAGTGTTCCCCCTTATGTTTTCAGTGCCCAAGTGGCACCATCCATCGTCACCGTAATATTATTAACCATGTTCCCATGCTGTACCTCACTTCCCCCTGCCCAGTTTGTAGCTGCCAGTCTGTGCTTCTCAATCCCGTCACCGTTTTCCCAGCCCCTCCGCCCTGGCAGCCATCAGTCTGTTCTCTATCAGCGAGTCTGTTTCTGTTTTCTTTGTTTATATTCTTGGATTCCACATGTAAGTGAAATCATATGGTATTTGTCTCTCTCTGACTTACTTCACTTAGCATAATACTCTCGGGGTCCTTCTATGCTGTTGTAAATGGTAAGATTTCATTCTTTTTTATGGTGAAGTGATATTCCATTGTCTATATGCACCACAGCTTTTTTAAAAAATTTTTTATCCATTTGTTTATTGATGGGCACTTGAGTTGTTCCCATAGCTTGGCTATTGTAAATAATGCTGCAAGGAAAACAGGGGTGCACATGTTCTTTGGAATTAGTGTTTTGAGTGCTCACTTTCTGACCTGAGCTAGTTTCCTGTTGGCCTCTATACGTCACCTCTCTCTGCTCTCAGTGCTTCCTGAATTGTTCTGTGAAGAGCTCTTGGCACTTAATAAGTTTCCATTTCCCCCCGAATAACCGATGTTCAATTTATCTTCAGATTCTGCTCTTCCATTCAATTCGGGAAAACTGTATTTCTGAAATAATGTTCTTACTCTATTCCACTGATTGGCATCGAGGATAACATTTATCTCTGCTGGCCCATCTTTGTCTTCTCTAGCTACCGCTTTATTTCTAATTGCTTTAGCCAACCTGCCCATTTTCCCTCTGCCTTTCTGCCTTCATTATGGTCATCACGGGTCTTTTTTCTGGGACGTTAATTTGATGTTAAGCCATGCTATTCTTTTCCCTTCTAATTGGTTTCTTAGAGTCACAATGACATTATTTTGGTCCTCAAATTATTTCCACCGTCTATGGTATCTCATTGCAGGTCATGTTGATGTTTTATCACCTCATTGTTGAACATAAAAAAAAAAATTGCCGCCCAGCCGAGTGATCGCTTGATTGGAGCATCATCCCGCACATCAAAGAGGTTGCGGGTTTGATCCCCAGTTGGGGTGCACATGGGAGGCAACCGATTGATGTTTCTCTCTCACATCAATGTTTCTCTCTCCCTCCCTTCTGCTCTCTAAAATCAAACATATCCTTGGGTGAGGATAAAAAAAAAAAAAAAAGATCTGCCATTTTTATAGTTCAAATTAGTTGTGGAAAATCTATCATATTTTCTTTCCCTGAGCTACAACATTTACAAGCAGACTCATCCCAGACTCCATCAACCATTTGACTTACCTCTCTTTCTCTGTAAGACTGTTATTCAAAAGAAGGGATGCCCCCCAACCAATGTGGCTCAGTTGGTTGAGCATCGTCCCATGCACCAAGAGATCGCTGGTTTGATTCCTGGTCAGGGCACATGCCCAGGTTGCAGGCTCCATCCCCAGTAGGGGACGTGCAGGAGGCAGCCAATCGATGTTTTTCTCTCTCTCATTTATGTTTTTTTTTTCTCTCTCTCTCCCTCTCCCTTCTTTTCTCTCTAAAATCAATAAAAAACATATTTTGTAAAAACAACAATAAAAGAAGGGTTGCCTTAAAATAGGATTTGTGATGACATAGCTGATCAAAACCTTAAAATTTTATTTTGACCTCCAAACTTTTATCTAGGAGTGACCCATTTAAAGTAAATGCCTGACTTCCTGTCTGCAGCATTATTTTTTTTGAACCTTTTCACTGGGGCAAGCAGTCTCTAGAAGAATAACCTTTTCTGACTATGATAGAATTGAAATGCCTAGCACGGCTGTTTTTCTTTTAGTTTATCTCTTATTAGACCTCTCGAAATCCTGATAGGTAGACTGCTAAGCCTTGCTCCTTTTTGTTTTATTTTGTATGTGAATATGTTTTTTAAAATATATTTTTATTGATTTCAGAGAGGAAGGGAGAGGGAGAGAGAGTTAGAAACATCAATGATGAAAGAGAATCATTGATTGACTGCCTCCTGCACTCCCCTTACTGGGGATCGAGACTGCAATGCAGGTATGTGCCCTTGACCGGAATCGAAACTGGGATCATTTAGTCTGCAAGCTGATGCTCTGTCTACTGAGCCAAACCGGCAAGGGCTATGTGAATATGTTTAAAAAACTGAACTGTATTGAAAGCATAAGGGCCACTTCCCAGTCTCAGATTTCCCTTTAATTATTTAGAAAAAGAATTGAAGCTCCTTTGTCCTGCATTCCTCCCTTCTTCCACACTCCTTTGGCCTATTTTATCTCAGTTGGGGAACTCCACAACATTCTAATCCAGTGATGGCGAACGTATGACATGCGTGTCAGAGGTGACATGCAAACTCATTTTTTTGGTTGATTTTTCTTTGTTAAATGGCATTTAAATATATAAAATAAATATCAAAAATATAAGTCTTTGTTTTACTATGGTTGCAAATATCAAAAAATTTCTATATGTGACACAGCACCAGAGTTAAGTTAGGGTTTTTCAAAATGCTGACATGCTGAGCTCAAAAGGTTCGCCATCACTGTTCTAATCTCTCTCTTTCTGCGAAGGGGATGGGAGCGGAAAAGGTGAGAAGGTGAAGTAGTTTGGGCGCAGTTTCATGTCTGATAATGCCTTCGGAATCTGTAAGGGGTAGAGCCCATTTGGTCCTTCGTGGCATAAGGGAACAGGCCTGGAGAAGTTGAGCAGTTTGGCCAGTCTGTCTGACTCCAGAGCATCTACGTTTCCAAGACAATAGAAGTGGAATTACGGGGGAAAGTTTGGTTTGGGAACCATGGGCAGTGCAGTACTGTAGTTAAAAGGGTGGACTTTGGCGTCAGAAAGACAAATTTGGAGGGAATGTCTTAACTTCTCTGTGAGTTGGTGTCATCTGCAAAACAGAGGCAGTGAGCACTTTTTTAGTGTTTCCTGCAGGCCTGAGCTAGTGCTCATACAGGGATTACTACAAAATACTAATTCAGTAAATGGCAGCTTTAAAAATAAGGTGTAATATTAGAGAAGGTCCAGAAACAAGGCTGACTTAGTCACTAAGCTTGGAGCTGCTGATCCTGGACAGCTAATTGGTTCAAACGGACTGGACTTGGGTAGACTCTGTCAGAGTGACTGTTCTGCTAAAACATCTGATTCCAACATTTTGATTCACAGTCGGTGTGAAGAAATGTTGGCACAGGAGTCTCGTGTATGTTAGGGTCGGGATACGTTGATTTCTTGGGAATGCCACATAGTGGGTCCATGTTGTTTTAGTCAGAGAGCACTCGGGTAGCTCACAGTAACTCAAGGAAACAGAGTTGGCTAAAGGATAGGGGACATCTTACGGAATTTAGGAGCAAGGAGTATGGCTGGGCCTCCTGGAAACCAGAAAATTGAAAGTGCTCATTTCATCTTGAAGCATCTAAATTCTAGTTCTTTATAGCCTTTCTCTTTTTACAGCCTGGTACAGCATTTGCAGAGTTTAGTTTGAGTGTATTTGAATTGCTATGGGCACCCATTAGATGACGTGACTGTCATCGCCGAGGTTGATAGTCACTTGTAATAGATGTGGCCACTCTGGCCCTGGCCCGTGTGGCTCGGTTGGTTGACTGTCGTCTCTTGTCGGAGAGGTCACCGGTTTGCTGGATCCCCAGTAGGGGGCATGCAGGAGCCAGGTGACCGATGTTTCCCTCTCTTTTCCTCTCTAAAAAAACCCAGTAAAAACATATTTTTTAAAAATGTGGCCACTCTGGCCTGTCTTTTTTTGTTTGTTTTTCGGCCTGCCTTTTTAACAGAAGAGACAGACAGGTTTGTAGAGAATAAGCCTATACAGAAGAGCAGGCACAGAAATCCTATTATTTACATTTTTACTAAAACAAGAAAGGTCTAGAAATTAGTGGTGTATTTTTTTTTTCAAGTCTGGTAGCCAGTTCCCCAGACTGAAACTGCTGGCAGTACACGGTGGCATCGTGCCCCAATAGCATGCTCACTTTTTATGAGAAAATAATTCTCTTGAAAGTTGATCCCATAAACCTAAATTTGTAAGTTTGCTGTTCTCACCTCCTAATAAGTATTGACTATTAATCTTCATCTTCTCTTGACTTTCTTCCAGAGATATGACGACTATGGAATGACTCCCCCATCGGGCCCATTGCCAAGGTAAAGTTTTCAGGAGAAAATGTGTTAGGATTTCCTCACATAGGCTGTTTTTCTTTTAAATTTAATTCTGTAAACTCGTTTTGTTTTGTTTTTTTAGCTAATATAAGCAGATACAAAATTCTGACTTCTATTCTCTTGATCTAATCAGAAGAGGAGAAAAAATTTAGAATTTAAGTTCTACCTCTAGTAATGAGTGACTAGATAATTTTCTGAAAACAACTGGAAAAGTGAGACAAAGTCTTAAGATAAAAATACAAAAGCCAGAGAGCTAGACTGAGGGGACCAGACATTGTTCGCCCTGCCAGTGTCCTGGCAGAAACAAATATTAGTTCTCCTTTACAGGAAGATAATACCATGTTAGACTCCCATTATCATTATAGTTTTGCATGAGATCAAACACACAAACAGACACACAAAACCAAGCATATGAGAAGAAAAGAAAATGTGATTCAAAAAGTAATAAAGAGAAACGGACAACAGAAAAGGAATTAGAGGGGATCCAGATATTGGAGATATTGAACACAGATTTTAAAGTAAGTATGCTTAATATGGAGGTCAGGCCCACTTGTCTGAGAAGACATAAAACCAAGAAGAGCCGGAGTGCTCTAAGAAAGAAGGATAAGATGTTAAGACTATTCTAAATGTTATATATTACTGTCAAGTAATTAAGACAGTATGGTTTCACTCTAAAGCTAGACAAACAGAGCAATGGAATAGAGCTATGGAGTAGACTAGAAAGCCTATAAACAGACCTACACATGAGTGGACAGTTGATCTATTACAAAGAAGGAATTGCAGAAAAATAATCTCAGAAATTATACCCAACTTGCCTTCAGTGGCCAGGAGTCACACAGAAGTAGGAATGCTATATCTGCTTCCTCTTTATTTATTTTTTTAGTTTTCTCTATTCTTCCTCATTTTCAGAGGGGCTTGTTTTATTTCTCCCCAACCCTACTCCCCAACCTGGGCGCTGCTTTGTGGTCACAAAACAACACAGGCAGAGAGAGCATGTGGTGCTCAGGTGATCCAGGGAAGTAGTTAATGTCAGGACCATGTGATCTGGCTCACCCAGTTCAGTTCCAGTTTAGACCTGTTGTCCAGCCTAATTATTAATAACTCTCACTCTCCAGACTCTTCTGGTTTGGATGATAAACTTCATGGTCACCCAAGGGAAAGGAATCCACAGTACTTGGATCACAGTGAACTACCTGAGCACACAATTTATGAGAAAAGGGCTGCACATGTAGGAGGAAGGGGCTGACTGACTGGGTCAAGTAGAAACAGCTAAAGGGGAAGAGATCATTCATGGGTGGATGGGCCAGAGACTGTCATGAGGTCATGTGAGCTCCCATGTACAGATCTCGCCTTATTTTAAGCTCTTAGATCTGCAGGGTCAGAGACCTCAGAGGTCAATGTGAAACAGCAGCCATTATTTGAACAGAGTAACGTACACGGGCTGGGTTTCAGTTTCAGAGATACACTCCAGAAATAACACTGTGGAATAAGTGCAAGTCAGTCTCATAGAACTGGTTTGATCTATTAATTACCGGTTGGCTGTTATTTGCAAAGACTTGTACTCAGACTCTCACGTTTTTAATTCTTGAATTTCTTTAGAGGAGTGGATCTCAACTGGGATTCTGAGACCCCTGGAGGGTTCTTGCGACTCTTTCAGGGGCATCTTGAGGCCAAAATCATTTTCATGATGACACTAAGGTGTTATTTGACATTTTCTTTGTGTTAACATTTGCACTGAGGTGCAGAAGCTGTGGTGGGTGCAAATGCTGGTGCCTTAGTGTGAGTCAAGGCAGTGGCACCAAATTGTTCATGTTGTCGTCCTATTCTTCACCGCTGGACAACAGCCATTTCTTAAAAAATGCTGGCTTTATGTTAGTACTAGAAGCCCGGTGCACAAAAATTTGTGCACTGGCGTGGGCGGGGGGGTCCCTCAGCCCAACCTGTGCCCTCTCACAGTCTGGGACCCCTCGGGAGATAACCACCTGCTGGCTTAGGCCCGCTCCCCTGGTGGCAGATGGCATGCCCAATCCCGCGGTGTCTGCCCCATCTCCCCCAGTCGCAGATGGCAGGCCCAGATCCCGTGCTGGGTCGGGCAGCGGCTGGGGATCTCACTGCCGCCCACCCCACCCGCCCCACCCCACACACGGCAGGCCAGGATCTCACGCTGGGGTGGCCAGCAGCTGGGGATTGCGCTGCTGCCAGCCCCCAGGCGGGGTGGTGCAGCGGGATCTGCCTGCAGAATGCAAATTAGCCGCCATCTTTGTTGGCGGTTAATTTGCATATCATGCTGATTAACCAATGGGAGGCGTAGCGAAGGTACAGTCAATTACCATGTTTGTCTATTATTAGATAGGATAGGATGTCCCTATTTCCCCCCTTTTGCCTCCTCTACCCAGCTCTTGCCCCCCACTTCTCTCAGCCATCACCATACTGTTGTTTGTGTCCATGGGTTGTGCATATATTTTCTTTGGCTAATCCCTTCTTTAAATTCACTTCTTTAAATTTTTATTTTCAGATAAGTGCTTATAACTGCACTATTATATATTTTCTATTATATCATTTAGAATTAAGATATTTTTTAATTGAACCCTTGTAAATTTTAGCACAATTTAATAAATTATGCTAGAAGCAATTAGGAGATTTTTCATGTAATGCATACACATTTCAATTAATATTTTATTAATTTTTAATTTTTTAATATTTTAATTTGAAATAATCTCATATATGTAAAAAAAAAACTATAAAATACTACAGCATATTATATGTACTCTTCACCCAATTTTTTAGGTGTTAATAATTTAAACATAACCATTATACAACTAACAAAATTTGGAATATATTTTTCTTATAATCTCTTTAATGTTACTTAATCCATTTACTTTGTTTTTGTTAATCTTCACCCAAGGATATTTTTCCATTGAATTTTAGAGAGAGTGAAGGGAAAGGGAGAGACACATTGATTGGTTGCCTCCTGCACATGCTCTGATAGGGCCTGGGGATCAAGCCAGCAACTGAGGTACATGCCCTTGACTGGAATCGAACCTGGGACCCTTCAGTCCATGGGCTAATGCTCTATCCACTGAGCAAAACAGGCTACAGCTTAATTCATTTACTTTTAATCTATATGTGTCTTTATATTTAAAGTGAGTTTTGTTTTTGATTCACCCTCATAATCTGTCTTTTAATTGGTGCATTTATGCCACTGACTGACTTTCAGAGTGCTTACTGATAGAGTTACTACCATATCAGGCGGCTTCTGGGGCTTCTGGGGCAGGCCTGCCTTGCCGCCCGGGACTAGATCGGATCCCGGGCAGCAGGGCAGGCCGGCTGCTGGGGCTTCTGGGGCGGGCGTGTCTTGCTGCCTAGGACCCGCTGATGGGGTCCCAGGCAGCCGGCCTGCCCTGGATGGTGGCGCCCTGGCAGTTCACGCTGTCCCGCCCTGCCTGCAGTATGCAAATTAGCCGCCATCTTTGTTGGCAGTTAATTTGCATATCATGCTAATTAGCCAGTGGGAGGCATAGCAAAGGTACGGTCAATTACCATTTTTGTCTATTATTAGATAGGATGTCCTTGATGGTGTAGCAAAAGTGATTAATTTTATTAAACCTAAACCCTGGAGTCTTTAATAGTCGGTGTGACAAGAGAGGAGACACATATAAAGCACTTCGCTGAACAGGGAATTTTGAAGGAAAAACACGTGTCCAGGTGTTTGAGTTGAGAACTGAACTAACTGCTCCATGTTTTAACTTGAACCAACAACTGGCAGACCTCAGTACTCAGACCTGGGTGTTTGGCAGATACGGTTTCGAAAATGAACGAGGTGGGCCAGTCACTTCAAGAAAAACAACTGACAGCATCTGTTACCAGTGACAAAATGGAGTTTTCAAGTGAAAGTTAGAGTTTTAGAAACTTTTGTCTGCCACCGTGAACTTGACAGCGTCCTAGTACTTAAAGACCCTGCTGATGAGCTTGATGGTGATACTAATGAATGTGAATTTTTCCATATTGTAAAATGAAACGTATCCCTACCTAGAAAGTCTGCAGGACACAGTAAACTAATGTTTTCCCAGTGACCAGTGTCATAAAATCATGCATGGGTCCATTCCAAGTATAACATAGACCAGTGGGATTTTTTGTTTGTTTTTTAATCCTCACCTGAGGATATTTTTTCCATTAATTTTTTTTTTAGAGATAGTGGAGGGCAGGGAAGAGGGGAAGAGAGAGAGAGAGAGAGAGAGAGAGAGAGAGAGAGAGAGATCCATGTAAGCGAGACACATCGATTGGCTGCTTCCTGCACGCGCCCAGACCAGGGCTAGGGATTGAACCTGCAACCCAGGTATGTGCCCTTTACCGGGAGTCGAACCCACGACCCTTCGGTCCACGGGCCAGCACTCTAATCCCTGAGAAAAAATGGCCAGGGCAGACCAGTGGGTTTTTGTGTAACTGAATGTGAGGAGTTCACTGATATTCAGAAGCCACATTGCCACTACCCCTTAAGGAAACTTTTTTGCGTATTGATGTGGTATCAAAGAAGAACAGCTGAAATATGATTTTGAGTATTTTCTGAAGAGGCTATTAAAATATCCCTCCCTTTTCCAACTACATATTTGTGGCAAGTGATTGAATAGAAAGTAAATGAGAATCCATATGCCTTCTATTAAGGAAATTTGAAAAAGATGTAAAACTCCTCTAAATTTTTTTGAAAATATTGTTAATTTAAAGAAAAATGTTAACATGTAATATGTTTAATATTTTAAATGAATTTTAAATATAAGTATTTAAAATTTTCTGTTTTAATTTCAAATATAATAAATATCTATAGATATAATGCACATAAATAAAAGTGGAACCCTCACTACTTTTTATGAGTGTAAAGGAATCCCGAGGACATAAATTTAATAACCACTGCTGTCAAGCACTGCTTTTCAGCCTTGATGAACCTCATGATCATCAATGGAGCTTTAAAAGCGACCAGTGTCTGGGCCCCATGTCTAGAGATTCTGTTTTAATTGGCCAGGGGTACCGCATGGGCACGGGGGCCTTTAAAAGCCCCTCAGGTTATGCTAACGTGTAGCCCAAATAGATGACCAGGGTAGTCAGATGCTGGAGCTGAGCAGGCTCTAGGACGTGGCTGTACCTTCTCTTGATCTGTAAACCAGAAGCATCTCTCCTTCCATCATCTGACAGATACCTTTCAAGCATCTGCTTGTTCTGGGCACTGATCTGAGGGCTGGAGACCCGGCAGTGAGCACATCGGACAAGTCTCTGCCCTCTGGAGAGGAGATGGGCAATAAGGCAGGAGACAAATAGGTCTTATTTTTCCGTAGGGATGAGGGTGTCGCTGGTCAAATACCAGAGCCAGGGTACAGTGTGGTCCTGATGCTTGGTGTGCTTTGCCTGCAGACCTGGTTTTGGCCCTGCTGTGCTTCAGTCTTCGGAGCTGGTGCCTCCGGAGCCCCAGCAGCCGCAGGCATCGTCTGAAGCCCCGTTTGTTGCCCGAGGGATCTACTCAGAGGACATGCCATCGGTGGCCCGGCCCCGGCCTGTCGGGGGCACCACAGGTACCTGTGGCTATTTAGCTTGCATTTCTGAAGTAAGAGGATGCTTGTTTTCTGGCTAAATTCTGGCAGAGTTCATTCTAGACTTCCCAGGGAATCAGCGCCCCAGTGTTCAGTAGCCTCTTCCACTGGTAAGAGCTGCTTTCCCTGTGATCCTGGTGAGATGTAGGGCAGAGGAGGGGGGAAAAGAGGGGGCGCTGAGATCCCATCACTGATGTCTAGTGCGTCTTTCCTGAATCAGCATCTCAAAAGTGTCCCTTTGCATGGAATTCACAGCACGCTTCTTCCAGGGAAAACAGTTCAAAATTCTCAGGGTTAAACTGCAAGATCTGTTTCTGAGCACTTGTATGGCATTAAAACAGGTATTTGTTTTAAAGAGAGCACTTTTTCAGCTTTTAAGAAGCAATTAAAAGTTGCTGGATAGTGATTGGGAGTAGATTTTTGTCTTATTTGGACAACCACTGATTGCTCCTTGAGTCTCACCTCCCTTCCTTTATCCCTTCTACCTTTGTTAATATGCCATTTTGCCTTTTAAATTTTTCTTGTCATTGTTTTCTGCCTTTGTGCCTGAGTCCTGCTGTCTCGTCCCTGTTGCCAGAGAAGTGGCCTGGAGGAAGCTGGTGGCCATGTGGAACTGTTTTCATCCTTTCTGGCCCTCTTTCCAGCCCTTATTAAAAGAACTATTTTAGTGTCATTTGTATGTCAGTAACCAGTGCAACTCTTTACTTGATAATTCAACAGTGAAAGGCTATTTTTTTCTAAAGTGGTCTTCTAATTCATTATCAGACTTTCAAGTGTTTGCACATGGCTTTTCTTCACTTTTGATATTTAGGTTTCCTTTAATTACCTGTTGAAATTCAAATAAAAATCTGTACCAGAATATCTTTGCACAGGAAATGAAAGCTCTCAGCTTATATTTTTAAAAGACGATAGTTCAAAGTGTCCAATTTCTGGAAATTTTGAAGCCAGAGAGAAAATAAATTTTGTTAAATTTTTTGTTTAAAAATATTCCAAAATTATAATTGGTTTATTTGAGAAACATTATGCATAATTTGGTTTACTTATAAAATATAATATTTAGTATCTTTAAGGATACAGGATATATTTCTTAGACCACAATTAAAATTTAGAGATTAAATATCGTTTCATCTATTCACTTTCATTTTTTAGAAAAAGAGCTCTGACCACCTGTACTTTAACAATCTATCACTTAGTTTTTGAGATGCGTGTCATAATTCAACAGAATGAGGGGCTCTCAGAATTTTTGTAAAGCAAGAAAAAATAATGTTTTCTGCATTGAGTGTCCTCAATAATTGCATCTAGAAAAAGTGTAAACGTATTTTTCAGAAAGTGAGTTGAGAAGAAAAGAAAAACATTTGTCTTAAAGTCTCCTAGGAGTTTTGTGTTAATATTTGAATCCAGAACAAATTATCATTAAGTTCAGGAAATGCTCGGCACTTGAGGGATTTGTCCTAAGAGCTTATAAGTCCCCAGATTTTCAAATGCTGCTATACCTTACACTTGGTTTCCCTAATCGGTCAAGAGAAGTGGACCAGCTAAGAGACCCCCTACAGACTCACAATAAGAGCCACTGCTGGTAGTTGGCAAGCAGCACTCAACAAGGCTGAGCTGACTCCTACATGGCACTAGCTAGTTTGCCCCACCAGTTCACCTGAGATCCAGTCTTGTACCCCAGAATTACAGATTACTGTTTTTAAATATATATATTTTATTGATTTTTAAAGAGAGAGGGAGAGGGAGAGAAATATTGATGCAAGAGCAAAGCATGATTTGCTGCTTCCCACACGTCCCCACAAGGGATCAACCCCATAACCTGGGCATGTGCCCTGACCAGAAATCGAACAGGTGACCTTTCGGTGCACGGGATGATGCCCAATCAACTGAGCCACACCAACCAGGGCCAGATTCCTGGATTATGTCAAAAAACATCATCTCGTGACCAGTTGATACTGTGAATGCTGTTCCGTGTTCCTGAAGCATCTGTGTAGTCGACGATGCTGAGCTCTCTCTGGTCCTTGTTCAGCTAGCTCTGCATACTCTGCTAAACTGTCCAAGGTCCCACTCGTCGTGCTGCGTTTTACTACGGGGGCTCATAGTCACTCTGCATTTCCTGTTCATTTCTTTGCCCTCCTTTTTGAAGACTGAAGCTTCAAAAAGCGAGGCCATTACATGTTAAATGATGTATTCTGCTGTTTTCTAACTTTCTGGGGAATATACACCTTTGTAACATCATCAATAAGCTGGTTTAGGCCAGTTATACATTTGCAATAATTGTGGGTAATTATTCAAGGTCTCCTGGGCAGTTCTTGTATTTTGCATTTTCTGTCTCTCTGTCAACTAAATAAGTAACATATGTTGACATTCTACAGGGTTTCACAGTCTGGAACTGTGCTTTGCAATTAGTCTTGTTTCTTCCATTAATTGTTGCACAGATTTCAAACAAAATTCAGACATATTTATTTTTAATCTACAAGAATATAGAAATTATATGTATGAAGCATTGGAAGAGGAAGTTACTTTCTAATAATTTATAATAGATTAAATTGTGTAAAAATTTATAATGGAAAAATGTTAAGATATACTAGAAGAGTTCCCTTTTTGATTACATAAAATTGTCAAACATACAGATACTAGGGGCCCAGTGCATGAATTCATGCACCTTGAAAGGAACAGTGGGCTTCGAGGCTATGGTAGGCACAGGGGTGGGTCTCGACCCACCCTCCTCACCTCCATCACGGCCCTCAGAACCCTGTCTGCTGGCAGCCCTGCTCCTGTTCCCACCCATTGATGGCATGGAGCGATTGGGGCCGGCACCAGCAGTGGGTGTGATAGGGGCTGGCGCCGTCAGTGGGTGCAAGCAGTGGAGCAGGGGGAGGTGGAGAAGCCCTCAGGGGCGATCAGGGCTGGCAGCCACCGCTCACACCTGCTGACTGTGCCGAACGATCGGGACTGGCACCAGCTGCGGATGTGAGCGGGGCCAGCGCTGGCAGCAGGCGTGAGCGCCAGGCGGGATCGCGGTGCGCATGGGAGCAAAGAATTTTCAGTAACCACCAGAGGCTCACCTGATGACAGTGACCAGTGCCCTGCCTTGGTCTGGTGCCCCCGGCTCACCTGCTCCACCATCCCGCCGTGGTCGACACCCGCCATGTTCCATACACGCCCCCTGGTGGTCAGAACACGTCATAGCTACCAGTTGTTTGGTTGTTCCAGTGTTACACCATTTGATCTGTTTGCATATTAGCCTTTTATTATATGGGATATAGACAGTATATATGTCTCAAAATTACCAAAAACAGAAGGATAATATACCCAGGGAAGATGTACAGCAGATATGACCAAGAGGTATTTTTATTATAGAGGATGGCTCATGTAAATTGATAAATGGACAAACCTCAAAGGGTAGGAAAGATAAATGGTCAAAGTACAGGAATAAATGCACACAAAAAATGTGTGTGTACTATAAAAAGGTAAACATATGAAAACCACTATTACATTATTTCTGGTGTTTGTGTAAATCATTAAACTTTTGGAAAACAGCTTGGCAATGACTTAATGAATTTTTGATTTGGTAATTCCACTTCTGGGAATCTAGGCTCTTTCCCCCTCCACAAAGAAATCCAAAATACTGGAAAAAAAACTATATGTGCAAAAGGTGTTTATCAGAGTACTATTCATAATAGCAAACAATTGTGAGCTCCCTAAATACCCCGTAATAAGGGCATCGGTGAGCGAATTGTGTAGCTATTTAAAATGAAGAGCTCAGAAAGAGCCAGAAAAAAGAGAATTTAAGATTTCCGGGTTGCTTCCTATGTGTTTGGTTCTTGACCTACTTTATGTCTTTTAATTCTTGAAATAACATCATGAGGTAGATTTCTTTTTATCCCACTTGAGAGGTGAGGCATTGAGGCTCAGCAGGAGTGATAACCGGGTGCCCAAGGTCTCGGGGTTTTCCAGGGCTGGGCAGGAATGCAAGCCCAGGCTTGCTAGGTGTGATGCCCCATGCTGAGTCATAGGGGAAGCTGTGTTGTGTGTTAAGTGGACAGAGCAAGATACATAATATGTCTATAACATCAACTACCATCACAGTATTAACACAAAAGTATTCTTGTCTCCCCGTGCAGTTGTCTGAGTCTTTGTAAGTGATGGAGAACACTGCTGCATTTGTGTTCTTTGCAAGATTCGCTCAAACGATGTCTGTTGGGCAAACAGAACTGATAGCCCCAATTACTTTAATACTGTTATGAATCTTCAGTAACTGGCAAGTGAGCCTATAGGGTATATTGTTCTCATGGGGACCTGGAAATTTCTTCTGAACTTCAGCTTTTAGTTTTTATTGTCTATCCCAATGAAACCGTGAAGGAGTTTGTTGTTGTTGTTGTTGTTGTTGTTGTTGTTGGGGTTTTTTTTGTAATGTATTTGATTAAGGGAGACTGTTAATTAGACAATTCGAGGAGGAGACTTGAAGATGGAGCGGGCCCCTCCCTTACCTCTGTGAAATCTCTGAACCGTTGTAGGACTGGTCTGAGCATCACAGGTGAATTCGATGGCCCCAGGGGCATTTGGAAATAAGTAGTTTCATTCCACAGTGCTTAAAGACCACCTTTCCCCCTCCCTCAATTTGCAGAATAGGGATACTTCTGTATGCCAGAAGTTGATGGGGGAGAAAGATAATGTTGGTTAAAGCCTGGTCTTCTAGCGACACGACGCCCCAGCACAGCATGTGTAAGTGCAGGAGCAGGAGCTCAGAGAACTTTCTGGCTGTGCCATCAGGATACCTCTCCAGTGAGGCTGGGCGGGTGGCTTTAACATTTTAAACGTGAATATAATGAAAATGTACTGTAACATTCTGAATTCAAACAAATATGCACCCTGCCGTTTAAGAAAAATAAAAATCTTGTCTTTTCATCTCCTTGCGAGTCTCAAAGCCACGAGCTAGGAGGAGCCAGGTTTCCGCTCCTTTATGCCTCCTAAACCTTTCAGTCCTTTCTTCCGAATAAATAAGATCGTTCTTATTCGTAACCTCTGCAGAAATGAATGGAAGAGCTGTCTATACCCTTCATTCCCAGTCCTTTGAAGTCTAGCCAGGAAAATAAGACCATCACTATCAGTCGCTCTATTAAAAGGAGGTAAAAGCCCATGGACCAAGAAGCTCAGGGTCTGATTTTCTTAGGAAATGTCATTCTCTGGAGATAGAATTGGTTCCGTGTTTGAACGGTGCTCATATTCCTGTCCCTAAGGGAGCGTGGTGGTCACAACCAAAGGGCCGTATTGGGCAGCCTTGCTTTCTGCCTGTGTTGACCAGGCTGTTCCATGCTGTTCCTCAGGCTCCCAGATTCAGCACCTGACCCAGGTGGGGCTTGCGAGCAGGATCGGAGCTCAGCCGGTGGAGGTCCCACCAAGCAGAGGCGGCCAGTGCGGGGGGCCAGGCTGGCCTTCGTTCGGGGAGGACGAGGTGGGCCGGAGAGAGGCCGTGAGTATCTGGCGTTCGGGTCACCACTGAGAATTCAGACACAACCATGTAATTCAGCTGCTTCTGCATTGGGGATCCCTTTTAAAAACCTACATGAGTAGAAGTGTTAACCTCCCTCACTTTTTCCCCTTGAGTGTATTTTTGCTTGCAGTGTTTAGATGGTGGATTCCCTCTGACCCAGAGTGGGGGAGTATTGGCATTGAGTTTGTGGAAAGTATATAATTTTTCTTGAGGCAGATTTTAGGCTTGGAGTCATGATTTTTTAAAAAATAACCTTTTAGAAATGATAAAAGCAATGTTCACTACCGAAAATCTGGACAGAAGACCTAAGTAGCAGTTTTTTAAAAATGTTTTGTCAGTTTTTTATTGTGGTGAAATACACATAGTTTACCGTCTTAACCACTTAAAATGTACAGTTCATTGGTTTTCAAGACATTCCTCTTGGAATGCAGCCATCACCACATCCATCTCCAAAGCCTTTTTCATCTTGTAAAACGGAAACTCTATCCTCATTAAACACGAACTTCCCATTTGTCCCTCTCCCCAGCTCTAGGCAATCACCGTTCTACTTTCTGTCTCTGTGATTTTGACTTTTTTAAAAAATGTGTTTTTATTGATTTTTAGGGAGAGGAAGGGAGAGGGAGGGAGAAAGAGAAACATCGATGCCCACTGTGGATTAAGAACCCAGGCATGTGCCCTGACCGAGAATTGAACCTTTCGGTGCATGGGGCGATACCCCACCACCCGAGCCACTCTGGCCAGGGCAGGATTTTGACTTTTAAGTAGTGACTTTGAACCTGTAGGTGACTAAACTCTGGACTTGGTCTTCGGTGTGCTCACTGTACAAATTTTCTTGACCTTACGTACCTCCTTGCTCACTGCTTGCGCTTTATTGTGGGTTTAGTAGCGTCATTCCCGTGATGCGCACCGGAGTCTATGCTTTTGCCGTAACCAAGCCTTTCAAGGCCCAGGGTGCATTTTGGAGGTTTCTCATCACTCTGGTCGCTCCTTTATAGCACAGGCTCTGTACAGACACAGGTGATTGCTACTTACAAATGCCTTCCTTTGCTTTTTCTCTCAAGCAGTTTCTATCCATGGGGGATACATGTATGAATTTGAAAATACAAATCAAAATAATACTTTCTGTTCATCCTCCTCATATGCCACAGATTTCACTGCATTCATGTGTCTTTTTAGCAAATACACTAACTTCCTTTAATGACGGGATGCTTTTACTTAATGAAAGGAAATTGATGTTAGAATATAATTTTTCCCTAAAAGATACATTGTTATAAATCTCAGGTATTTGCTTTATATTTGCTGACATCTTTTTTTTTTTTTTTTGCCTTCATTGTGGCAACTTGATTTCATTAGGTGTTGGGTTTGCCAATCCAGTGGCCCCTTAGAGTGCCTTCCTGTCACTGTGTGGGAAAGTGAAATTCAGGAACAGTCTAGGGCAATGGTCGGCAAACTCATTAGTCAACAGAGCCAAATATCAACAGTACAACGATTGAAATTTCTTTTGAGAGCCAGATTTTTTAAACTTAAACTATATAGGTAGGTACATTGTTATTAACTTAATTAGGGTACTCCTAAGGCTTAGGAAGAGCCACACTCAAAGGGCCAAAGAGCCGCATGTGGCTCGCGAGCCGCAGTTTGCCGACCACGGGTCTAGGACTTGCATGCCATGTTCACCGGCGAATAGCTTACTCTTAGCTTAGGTGAGACCATGGATTTAGAACTCGTGTTATGCAAAGAGATTTTTCACTGAAAAAATGTGAAAAAGAAATCACTGAAATGTATAATAATTCTTGTCAAATGAGTACCCCATTATACAGGGTGGGGCAAAAGTAGGTTTACAGTTGTCAGTACATGAAACAGAGTTTATTCTTGTGTTACTGTTTTTTAATTATTATATTGTTTTCTATACGAGCAACTGTAAATCTACTGTTGCCCCACCCTGTATTATGGGAATATAAGCAAAACTCTTATGTTTCAGTGCGGATAACTTTTTAAAGGAAAGGCTCTACAGAGCTCGCGACAGGCACACAGACAGATAAAACGGAAAGTGATTTTGTGATGTTTAATACGTGGTCCCTGGGCTCCAGGCCCAGGACAAAGGCACTTGTTCTTTTTGTTAGTCCCTCTGCCAGTCCCTGCTTATCTCTTCCAACTCTCAGGTGCCCTCATCTGACCTTTCCCCTCCATGGGGTGCTCCAGCCTCCCTTCCTTCCCAGCCCCCTGGGTCCCTTCCTCTGCTCCCAGCGGCCACTCGCCTCCACACACACACAGGCACAGAGACTTGGCTGACCGGTTTATCCTTTCTACCATTAAGCATTATGAGGCACCTGTTAAGTTCAAGTTCAAAGGTTTCTTGATTGCACTGCTCTGCCCTGAGCAATTTTGCCACAGTTATTACTCTCCATCCCAGCCCCAGGGTGTCCTGTCGGAGGGCTGAGTTGTTGGCTGGGGGATGGGAGGAGGACGTCCTGGGAGCCTGCCCACCGCCAGTTTGAATTTGATTTTCCCTCCTGTTCCCACATGGGAAGTACAGCACCATCTGCTGTGTTTTTCAGACACACATGCTTGGACATCAGGAGTATTCTTCACCACTGTTCCAGGTGCCAAGGACTTCGGGCAGGGAGCCCTCCGCTCCTCCCGGGAGCGCCCCGCACAGGGGGCTGCAGGGCGCCGGGCTGGCCTATGCCACCAGCTCCACGGAGGACCTCCAGCCCGGCCACTCCTCCACGTCACTCATCAAGGCCATCCGTGAGGAGCTCCTGCGGCTCTCCCAGAAACAGACCGCCGTGCACAACTTCCACAGCTGATGGGCCTCGCCTTGCGTTTGCCAAGTATCCGCTTCCCGTGGAAGCAAGACTCAAAGGAAACCGGCTTAAGGGATGTCAGGAAGAGACCAGTGCCTCCAGGGCTGGGGGCCGCGGGAGGGAGCAGTTTGCCATCTGAGACGATGCCAGATGCCATACGTCACGTGACAGCTCGCGAGGCTTTTACCAAGTTGGCAATGTTGTGACCATTTGGGTTCAGTCGAGATTTCTGGATTTTTGGCCAAAAGCCAGCAGCACTTCACGAAAGACAGACCACAAACCTAACCTAACGGAGTTTCTTAGTCAGTCCCCTTTTTCAAGGCAAAAGATGGAAATGTATAGAATGTATAGGGCCAAAAGGAGTCCGGCATTTCCGTGCGGAGACGTGTTTGAGGCTGGTTTGTATGGTGAACCTGCTGCTTTGTTTTCTGAGAAAAGAGATTTGAAGACATTTTATTAACAGCTTACTTCCCTCTTTTTCTCCTTAGGAACTTGTTTTACTAGTAATATTAACAACAAGGGTACTAAGACTGTTTGGGGACTTAAAAAGCTACTAGTGAGAAACCAAATGATAGACGTAGAGCCTGATGATTCCACACGAAGCCATCATCTGCATTTCCCCTTCTACTTCTGGTGCTACCGCTCCAAGCGCCCTCCCCCTTTATGTCTGTGAAATGCAACTTTGGCTTTTCCAATGGAAGGATGTGTTGAAGGCTTCATTTTGTTCTAGAAAGGAAAAAACAAACACAAAAAAACACTCCCAAAAGAGGGGGGAAAGCTAAATATTTATTTGGTTATTCAAAACACATATCAGAGTTTAGGTTTACATTCTTCATTGTATTTGTTGGTTTTTAATTGGGCACGTGGCACTCCGAGAGCATCCCACTTCAGCACATGTCCCCTTCAAGGCCAGTCCTACAGAATGAGGCTCTCAGGAGGTCCTAACCGATCCTGGCGCTTTGCTGATGAGTTGCTCACAAATTATGTTTGAATGAGAAACGGTCCATAAGCAAAAATGATGTTTAAGCATTCCTGGGGCCACCAAATAGTGATTCGTGAGTACATTCCTGGTGATCACATTCTCTGTGTGTTCAGGACCTGGAGATGAAGCTGAGTTCTCGCCGGCCTCTGAATCGGGAAATGTGAAGAAGAGCTTTGGGAACAAGGGAAGGGAGGGGGCTGCTCCTAACGTCTGATTTCATGTGCGTGACCCTGCTGAGTGACTGCTGAAGGCGTCCGTCCATGTGCTGTGGGCCCAATAGAGGGTGGGTGTCATCTCCCTTGAGGTTTACCCTGGAAGTCACCGTTCCCTCCCCGCCTCCAACCCCCCAGAATTAAAGTGAGGACTGGAATAACAAGGGCTGTTTCGTTTTCTGGTACCGGAGTGAAGCTCAGGAGAAAAATAGATAACACATGGCTACTATGAGTTCTTTTTTATTAGATTAGCTAATACTTTAACCAACAGATGAACAGGCAGAATTGGGGGCTCTAACCAAAACCCGTGTCACGCCTTGCGAGCCCTGAGCCAGCTCACGTAGGTTTCCGCAGTGTAATCGTTGCTCCAGAGCCACGTCTCAGCACTGCGTTACGCTGCCCTCAGCCGCTCAGCGCGGAGCAGCCACTGTTTATCTGTGTGCTCCTCCAGGAGCGGGGCTGGAGAGTAAGTCTCTCAGGGATGTTAAGGAAAGGGACTCCTTTCCTGGCAGCCCTCACAGGCTCCAGGAGCGTGGGAGAGAAGGCCTCCTTCTGGTTTTGATTTCTGACCCTCGGTCCTGGGTTAATAGCGTGGAGGGATCTCTGTGTGTCACTGAGAAATACCAGGTTTCCTGAATACGTTATTATGAATGTCAGACATCCCAGCAGAATTGTATTACGGACACCTCACAGTGAAGTCCAGTCGTGTGGCAGCAAGTGGACCAAATGCAGGCCCCTCTTCTCCCCTTCTGCCCGGTGTGGTCGGCACTAAAAATGGTTACCTCCCTTGGACATTGAAGAAATGGCCCCTGTTTTAAAGGGGGCTGCAGTGGCGATTATGATGCCTTTCAAACTAGCATACAAGGATTCGACCTGTATTGTTCTTCTTAGAACTGATACACCTTTAAACTGATGTTAAGACCAAAGAGGACATAGAATACCTGGGGTGGGGGGTAGTGGGAGAATGGGGGGCGTGTGGAGTGGTGTGGCATAGTGTGGCGTGGTGTGAACAGGCCGGTGAGATCACCAGCACTCGGGTGTTGGTTGTGAAGCACGCCCAGATTGCCCTTGTTTTCTCTGAACAGCTGCCACGGAAGTCTTACCAAGCCCCAGACTCAGGACCGACTAGCTGTCGCGGGAGCACCACACACAGATGGGTCTGCAGTCACTCAGACAATGTGATCTGCTTAAAAGGAAGGTCCTCATGTCCATCCTATGCGCTTTAGAGTTCATTTATTTGAAGCATTCTAAAATGAAAAGTTATTCTAAAATGTATGTCTCTCCTTTTCCCCTATTTTCAAAGTTCCAGTGGTAATAAAATGAACTATAAATTTGAGCCAATATTTTAGCGAATACTATTTGGAGAAATGATCATTGAATTCTCTGTGTCAGGTCCCTTTTCTGAGCCTCATTCTCCCCATCAGCCAAACAAGGACAGACCTCCCTTGCCCACCTCCTAGAATTTCTCATTGTGAGCATCAGATGTGATCATGTGTGCAAGTGTCCCTTGAGAAGGAAGCACAGAGCATTGTGAAATGCAAAATGTTATCTGTATGATTATGCTGGGAAGGATGATCGGATGTGCTGTGACCTACCAGTGAGTGAGCTCACATGGAGGTACCCAGAGCACAACTAAAGGCCTCGTGCGACTCTCTCCCTCTCTCCTGTTTTGCTTTAATTCACTTCCTTCTCCATTAACTTTTAAACAGCATTTACTACACATTTTTCATGCTCCTGATTTCCTGTCAAACATGGACCCTGCCTTCTGAGGTCTTAGAATCTAAGCCGAATAACACAGGTTTACAAGATGGACGATACACATAAATAACAAGGTTTAGACATCAGTAACGTTTGTTGAGGGTGCACAAGTGCATTAATACAGGGACGAAATTCCTAACCTCACTGTCTAGGGAGTTTTGTAAGAGGAAGAAGTGGTGGTGTGAGTACATGCTTGGAGTAATACAGTGAGAAAGTGACCAGGCCTGGGAAGAAGGTCTCCCGAGGAAGAGATCCATTCTGGAGAGCACGCCAGTGTCTGCCGAAGAACCCAAGGTCAAGCATGGAAGTAGCGGTAAGAGTTCCACCATCTGCTCCTCTGCTTGGCGCAGATCTCAATGGCCAGCCATTGGGCCACATTCAATCCTTTGTGAAGCGTGGTGGGTTATAAACACATACATTTGACTTATTGACAGCCACCTACATGTTTTTCTCCAAATGTTATTTAATTTCAGAGTATTTTTTATTTTGGTGGCATGTGGCTTTTGAGCAGCAGGTTAAGTGGGTTTTTTGCCAACCAGACTTTTCAGGGCAAGAGGCCTGTAGTGCAAAGCACAGGTGAAGGTCTGCCTGAAGGCTTTGGGCGGAACCAGGTACTTCTGTGTGTTATGAGCCTCCGTTTACCTGTGGGCAGGGTCAGCACTGACTGCATTGCACAGCCTCTTAGTGCTCCAGTGACCAAACCAGTCACTCGGACACTGATGGGCATTTGCAGTAACTCACCAGTTAATCATTAAATAAACTTCTTTGTCCCCTTCATACTAGATTCTTAGACGTGAATGAGTTTGTTGGTTGGAAGGAAAGCTGGTTAAGGTTCTGGGCAGGGGGATGGGGGCCTCCAGTCTTAACTACCACACCAACTTTAGCTCTAGTTGAGTTTTAGCCATTTCATTTCTACCTCCAGAGCAAGTCTCCAAAGCCAGCCTCCACAGCCTGCTAGTCCACATTTATCCCAGATAGGAGCACAAGAAAGTCCACTTCTATCCCTGCCAACAGACCATTGATCACAAAACCCATTTCTATGGGATGGTAACTTGAACTTCATTTTTACATTTAATCCCACACATTCACAGATATTCTTGTAACAGGTGAGAGGGGTTTCTATGAGCAGTTGCTCTAACATACTCATAAAATTTAATAGGCTGACAATACGTAGTGAACGAGGACTGTGTACATTTCAGGTGTCTTTTGATATTTTTTGGAGGTGATTTTCAGTGTTTAAATGAGGACTCCTTTGTATTAAAAAAGACTTGAAAACCGAGACCTCACGGTACGATCCTAATTCCGTGCTCGTGTGTGTAATGGTACACTTGAGAGTTTATTTTCAGAACATGCAGCAGCATTGCCATTTAGGAAAAGAACATTTACATGCCCTTGGAAACATGAAACAAAGTTAGGAACCCGGCGAGCAAGTGAGAAGGAATGCATGTCTGAATCTGAGGAACTCTGGTGCCGATTGGTTTCCCACAGGGTAGGTAATTATGCAGGCGGCTTGCTTTTCCTTCTCCCAGGTTTTTCTGCTCTGGGGCCACTTCGAAAAGAAAGGGTGAAGAGACAGGTAGAGATGTAAGCGATCTGGGTCTTGTGATCCGTGATTCTGTGGAACCGTTCTCGAGAACTTGGAGCGTCATGCCCACCAGATTTCATGCCTTCATAACTTGACTCTTAAGTGTGCAAGTCAGGAATAGTACAGGGCCAGGTTCAAGACAGACCCCCTGTACTTGCCCACAGCTGTGGGGAAGGAAGGGGGTGCTGGAGGGACAGAAGCTCCACCAATGAACTCGGTTGCTCTAAGCACAGAGGGCTCATTTCAGAAAAGGGGAGTCGACTCAGCTTTGCTTTCCTGCAGAGCATCATGGGGAGCATGGAGCTATGGCTGGCCTTCCCCTTCCAGGAAAGGTCGCTTCGTAGAGCTGCCCTGGGATGCCCCCTTGGCCCCTCCTCCTTCGGCAAGGTCCGTATTCTGACTCTTCCTGCACTCTCATTCCGAGATCATGAGTGTTAATGTACGAAAATACACAGAGTAAGTGAAGGCCACTTGTGGCATCAGTCCTGCAACTTGAACTTGACAATCATGGTTTGCTGGCACTTAAATTTTGGCATAGGTGTATGATTTTAGTAATCGAATCCTCCCTCTATTTGTCAGTTACGTTTCTACCCTCCAATTAGCTGCACTGTTTTTCTAATGTGCTGTAGAGTTTTTGAAATAATTTATGCAAGTGTTTGGTTTCCATGTTTACAATTTATACGGCTTTCCTAGCATTTTAAATGGAACTGTCAATAAATGCTATGAATTGGTGTCAAGTGATATTTTCTGTTTATTTCCTTTGATAGTTTTTTCATTTGTAACGTGTGAAGGTTGAATGAGAGGCTTTTTTTGGTTCTCTAATTTTTGAGTCCCTGGTGGGAACCCCGAGGACTTTCATTTTCCGAGCAATTAAGTTGAAAGTCGTCTTTTCAAGTGTGTGGAATTTGCAGAATTGTTTTCACTCGTGTTGGCTGGTGCTACCCCCTCCACCACCCACTAATCAAACCGATGCTTCCACTTAGAGCAGATTCATTTTGGAATTCAAAGATTAGGACGCTCCCGTCTAGAAAGATAACTGAGAGGAGCAAAGTCGGTACCATCTGGAAAGGCAATAGCATAACCTGGAGTTGCTTATGAGAGCCAAGAAAATAAGAGCCCATCGGGACAGACAGAAGCGAAGGGTCTGAGACTCAGTGGAGACTCACGAAACGTGGACACCTGGATGGACCCTGAAACAACCACCAGAAAGGTAATCAGTGGGAAGTGGTGAAATCCAAATAAAGTCTATGATGCAGTTAACAGTTTATGCAAAGGTTAATTTATTGCTTTTGTTAACTTTGTTGTGGCTGCCAGGATTTTAATATTAGGGGAAGCTATGTAAAAGGCATACAGAAACACTGCATTGTTTTTTGCAGCTTTTCTCTAAATCTAAAATTATTTAAAAATTGGGAAACAGATTAATCTGGAACAGATAAAGCCCATATGCCCTCCCCATACCCAACCCCCTGCAGAGGCTAATAGGAACCTGCCCTGAGCATCCATAACCTAGAACCTCCCGTACTTCTCAGGGCAGCCAGCTCCCACTGACAGTGAAACCACAGTTAACAGTTTTAAGTCTTGGCAGAAAGTAAACCTTCATGAAGGAGACTTCAGGGCCAAGGATCCACCAAAAGGAGAATTTGAACCTAATAATTAGAGAAAACAGACCACTATGAAAGAGACCTTAAAATATGTTTCAAGTGTTTGGGAGATTAAAAAAAAAAAAAAAAGGAAAGAAAACTAGTAAACAGCAGAAGAATAGGCTATTATGGAAATTTAAGCACATTTGGCAAAACCAAATAGTAGTCATTGAAGGGAAAATAAAGGAATTTTAAAAATAACATATGCACACACAACCGTCAGATACTCCGGTATTTTAGACATAGCTGAAGACAGGTAATCGTGACCGTCTTAATGCATCTTTATATTATGTTTTAATAAATACAGCTTTAGCTTGAAAACAAGAAACAGCAGAGTATAGACTAACTGGTACTCCTCGGTCCCCTGAGAGATCTCCCATGTCTTAAATGTAAATAGGCTTAACACGGTGGAAGAACAAGATGTTACTAGAAGTAGCTGTGGCTGAGAAGAAAGGTCAGGCGGCTCCCACGCCCAGAGCCTCAATAGAGTTGACATGAATATGAGTTTAAACCATAATTGGCCTCATTGGACAGCCCTCTTTCACCTCTTCATCGTCACACCTGCCCAGCATGGCTTAAGGTAAGTAAACAATAAACAATAACAAATAGGAAGATAAATCATTTCTGCTCCAGTGCTGGAATTAGATAATTAAATTAATGAAATGTTTTGCTTGTTGTTCGACCATGCACAATTTAACAGCTTTCACCTACATTTTCCTTGTTACACCCTTCTGGGAGTTAATAGGGGTGTGTGCGTTTGCTTTCTCTTGTGTTGAGGACTTGAAAAATTATGGCCCCAAGTCTAGGCTTTCCACGTTTGTCTAGTTAAACTGCTATTTGTCGTACCTGTGCCAAAGGATAGCATTACAGAAGCCTAAAACAACTTCTCTGGAAAACTCATATTGTAAGGTTGTTTTGGAGTGTCTGGGTCATGGATGGTTGCACACGCATTAGTGTAAGTACTTAGATCTTGATTCTATTATGTGATGATATACCGCAAATAAGTGGTTTCTCTCAGCATTTTATTTCAAATTTTAAAATCCTGAGATTGTTCTCAAGGAAATATTAGTACAAAGATTTTTTTTTTTAATGGCTTAAAGACCTGTCCGGTTTGGCTCAGCGGATAGAGCATTGGCCTGCAGAAGGGTCCCAGGTTCGATTCTGATCAAGGGCATGTACCTTTGTTGCCGGCTCCTCCCCGGCCTAGGCCTTGGTTGGGGTGTGTGCAGGAGACAACCAATTGATGTATCCCTCTCACATCAATATTTCTGTCTTTCCCTCTCTCTTCCACTCTCTCTAAAAATCAGTGGGAAAATATCCTCGGGTGAGGATTAAAAAAAAACAATGATTATATTTTTAAAAAAGAATGGCTTAAATACTAAAACGAGGTTGCCATGTTTCAGTACAAATGGATGTTAAGTCGTTCTGCACTGTGGCTGCCTTTGATGAGCAGCCAGGACTTTTTTGGCAGAGCTCAGGATCCCCTCAGACCCTCCTAAAACGCCAAGTGAGAGACGAGGGTAACCGCTGCCTGCACTTGGAGTCCAAGAGCCAGAATGTGCATAGGCCCGTTTTATAGTTCCTTGATACTGTTCTGTTTGGACGCCTTGTGAGACAAATTTAAAAAAATAAAATCTAGCCAAATTTAAGTCAAACATCATATATTACTATATGTAGCCGATGAACCCTAACCTTTTTTGCTCTGCCTTTCCTGGTCAAAATGAAGATTAGCAAAAAATAAGGACATAAAAACCACTATAATTCCATCATCAGAGATACTGCAATCAAACTTTTAGTAGGTTTTGGTCTTTTGAAAAAAAATACGTATTTTTTTTTTTTTCAGGCACGTATCTCGGTTGCAGGCTCCTCTCCTTCTAAAAGTCAATAAAATATTTTAAAAAATAATTTCAAGTGAATATGCTACTATTTCTTTAGATTTACAAGCTCAGGGATTTTTTTAAGTAGGAAGCAGAACATTAATTCACAGTAAATTGTCTAATTTTGTGCTTGTTTAAAGATGAAACTGCTTCATTTTCCATGCCTCGTAAGATACATTCAGATTGAGGTCAGTACATAATTCAGGCTAATAATGTCTGTAATTTAGGGTAACATGATGACTGAGTAACACAGTGGTATTGATTCTTTTAAATTTGTATGCTTTCTGGGCCAGAATGTGGGCTTTCTTGGTGAATGTTTCATGTGAACATGAGACGAATGTATAATCTGCTATTGTTGGATATCGTAATCTATAAATGTCAATTAGATCAGGTTGATTGATGGGACTGTTTAATTCAGCTCTGTCCTCGCTGATTTTCTGCTAGCCGGGTCTGTCAGTGACTGATGGAGGGGTGTGGAAGTCTCACACTGCAATAGTAGATTCATCTGTTTCTTTTTGCAGGTTCTATCTTTGCCTCACATTTTTGGGACTTTGTTAAGAGTGTACACATTGAGGGTTGTTAGATCTTCTTGGAAATCTGGCCCCTGCATCATTTTGTGATGCTTCGCTTTATCTCTGACATATTTCCTTGCTCTGAAGTCTGCTCTAAAATTCATACAGCTACTTCACCTTTCTATTGATTAATGTTAGTATGGTATATTTTTTAGCATCCCTTCACCTTACGTCTTTCTTTGCCTTTATATTTCAAGTGGGTTTCTTGTAGACAATATATAGTTGGGTCTTGCTTTTTTTTTTTTTGTCCACTTGATAGTCTCTGTCTTTTAATTGGTGCATTTAGACCATTCACATTTAAAGTAATTATTGATATGGTTGGATGAGTGTCTGGCATCTTTGTTACTATTTTCATTCATGGACCTTTTCTTTGTTTCTGTTTTTTGTTTGTTTGTTTGTTTGTATGTATATTTTGTCTTCCACTCTTTTTCTGCCTTCTCTGCTTTTGTGAGCATTTTATATACTTCCATTTTCTCTCATTTCTTACGGTGCTGAGCCAGCTCAGCCTGAGTGAGGGCGGTGAAGGATGAAGAAATGACAGAGAGAATAAGCTGGGGTGGATCTCCTATGCCTGGCTGAGGCCACAGAGAGATCCAGAGGCAAGCTGAGCCTTTATTTTATAGCCAGAGGTAAACAAGGTAGTGGTCACCATAGTTACAATGTTCTTGTGAGTTTCACTTGTTTTGGCAGCACTTGCAACATCTCCCTCAGCCCATTAGCTTCCCAGATAAGATCTAGGGAGCATCATAAGGTCAAGCCTAATTATGCTAAGAGGACTGTGCCCTCTAAGCTGGGGCTTGTTTGCGGCTTTGCCAACAGGTCAGTCTGAGGCTTAACCCTATAGCCGCGCCCTACATCTTACTATATCAATTTTACTTCAGTTTTTATTTTTTAAGCATTTGCCCTGGAGTTTGCAATAGACGTGTATGACTAAGCCAAATCCACTTGCAAATAACACTGTGCTGCTTCACAGGCAGTACAGATCCTTAAAGCTGCAAGCTCTTTATATGTTAGACTGAACCCCGGAGGATATAGTGGCTTTTAATTCACAATTAAACACACATACACGTGTGCCACTCAGACATACACAGCCCCCATAGTGTTGCCCAAGGTTACTGTGCATCTGACTTAAACAGCCCTCAAATTCCTGCCGGACATTTTCCTATCTATGTGTTTTATTTTACGTCATTGAGAGTAAAATACACTTACATACACTTTTCTATCCTCTCTTTCTTCACTAGCATTGTCATAAGTATTTTCTCATGCCATTAAAGACTCATTTTTATCATGAGTTTATGTCTATATTTACATTTTTTCTAAATTCTTGTGAAATTTATTATTTGTTTATCTTACAGCTCCCCTATATTTGAGTTTAATCTCTTTACTAAAAATATTTTTCCTTTAGCAATTTGATTATATTTCTCTTAATATGGTTGGCACTACCAGTTTCTTTAACATTTCTACAAAGGAATGGTTGATTCCTTCACCGTTCCTGCCTGAATATGAAGTGTGATTAGTTCTGGGGGTGAAAGTCGGAGATTTCTCACTGTATCCTCACATGGTGGGAGGGGCTGTATTTTTTTTCTGTATAATTTAACCATTACTCTAACCTTAAACATTTAGTTGTTTCTAATGTTT